TTTTTTCTAGCTATCTCCTTACCGAATTAGTTACGCTCCTTTATTTAATAGGAGCCCTATAGCCGTAGCTATAGGGGTATCGTAGCACCGTGTTCTATTATCCTGGAACCCTACAGCTATAGGGGTATTACGGTTTCCTAATGTAACGGCTGCTATTAGCGCTATAACCAATAACGGGGTTACTAGTAGAGTAGGAAGTAATGGATCGGGCGGATATAGACGGTGATTAGGCGCTATACCGGCTAAATTATACTATTCGTGACCTAAATCTTATCCTGATTAACTCGAGATAGCCTCCTCTACCCCTTTACAGCCGGGTATTACGGACTATAACCTTAACGGTAAAGCCGTGAAGGAAGGGGATCCGGGGGCGTTTATCCCCGGATCTAATAATTTAAAATAAGCAGTTATATAAAGGGGGGGTCCTTAGCTTATACGTCCGTAAACGGCTATAAATCTCTAGCCCTCTCCTACTCGATCTGACTAATTAGGTCTTCTAATTACTCCTCGGTTAATTAACGGAGGTCGTCCTTAAACGTGGCGATATCGCCGTTAAAGAAGGCGTGTTTATTAAAATCTATATCGCGCGTTCGAATAACACGGTTATAGCGGCGTAGGCTAAGTACCTAGATACGGAAAGTATTAGTGGAATCGTAGCCGATAAGGTAGCCGATATAGGCGTAAGAAGCGATACGATTTAATAGCTTATTAGCAGCCTTTTAGGCGTTCTTTATTATCGCGTACGCTTTATAGCCGTAAGCTCGAAGGTATAATAAAATCGGCTTCCTTTTAAAGAGGACTATTAGAATATACAGTGCTTATACGTTGCCACGGGACTAGCACCAGACTTATACATAGATAGGGGGATCGTAGTCAGGTTAGACCGTTAGAGATACGACGCGTCGAGGTTAAGTAAGCTGGTTAGCTTAGAAGTCAACTTAGATCTAGTAAGCTAGTTAGCTTAGGAACCAGCTTACGCCTAAACTTAGTCTTAAGGAGGCCTCTCGCCACCTACTTAGTTAGAAGACCTTAGGTAGGTATAAAGAGGGGAGTGCCTTTTATAGTTCCTAGAGTTTTAGAAGGACTTAACGAATAATCTTATCACGATACCCCCTCTTTAGCTCCTACCAGTCTTTAAGTGATCTTATATCATCTAGCAGTCGCCTATTACTCCTTATAGTATACCTATGACAAGGACCTTGTATAGCATTTTCTATTCCTTATTATACTACCTTCGTGGCGTGCGGTTATAGACGTACGTAGCCGTGGGAATAGCCTTAGGCTATATAAACGGTGGTAGTTTTATGTGGATATTTATCGTACGACCCTTTAAAATAACCACGGTAGTAACGCGTTCGGCACCCCCGTTCTATACTTAAGTGTTAGTAGTAGATACCTCTAAAAGGATACCCTCGCTACGTAGGAATTAGGTGATATCGTGGGATTGAGTCAGCTTATTATTAGATTCGAAAACGCGTACCTTATAGTCTACTTAGCGGTCTACCTAGGCGAGGAATTCCTTAATTATTATAAGGATATCCACTGCTAGCTTACTCTTTATAATATAGGTGGCAGTAAAACTACTATAACGGTCGGTGAAAAATATAAACCTTAAGTTCCTATTAGCCGTTTATTTAAAATCCGTGAAATTAATCGCCTATCGCTCCCCTGCATAGGTAGGTATAGTGCGAGGGCGCCTACTAATATACCGTTTTATCTTTATAAGCTCGTAGGCCTTATAGTCGATAGTTATTAGTCCCTTGATTTTAACCCCCTACGTCTGCTCTTCTAGGTGCCTAAGTGGTTTAGGGCCTGCGTGCCTTAGGCGTAGATGCTATAAGATACCCTCCGTAGTGCTGAGATACTATATTATCGATTTACGGACGTCTTTTTAGGTGGTAGAAGAAGAAGAAGAGCCTATAAAAGTAGCCGTAGATTGGTTAGAGGGCACGTATTTAATAACGGTTTAATCGAAGCGGTGACTTAGCTAGTATAGTATAGATTTATCGGAATGCCGAATATAGTTATTTAGTGGCTTTTGTTCCTACTAGTATCCTCGAAGACGTAGGCGTTGGTTAGAGATTAAATTATAGGTAAAATCCTCGTAGTATACGATGTTTACTGGCCTGAAATCGAGGCCTCCTATTAGTCCGTTTAATCTCACGGTTATATTACCGTAACCTTTAATAGGCAGGGACGAACTGCCGGCTACTACGTAGTCCCCCTACGTGGCGGGTGTAAAATCAGAAAAACGGGAAAAATCGTTGAATATATAAATAGTGGCGCCGGAATCGAGGATAGTAGAGGTTCGAAGAGGGTAACTAGTAGTAGCGGTTCCTGCTATAAAGCTAGCGGCGTGGGAGACGCCGCTACGGATACTGCTATAGTCGAGTCACGTCTCTTTAAGCTATGCTAAGTCCCGGCTTATATCCTTCTTCACCTTCTTTGCGGCACGTAGTTCTTCCACTTCCGCGCGTAGCGAGGGGTTATATTTAAGGATCCGTTAGACGGTTATTTTAGTGCTCTCGAAGGGTATTTAATCGTTATATACTATATCCGGGAATAGATAGAAGTAGGCGTTAATATCGTGGCTAGGTATAGCGTATACGCGGTAGATCTGCCCTCTCTATAAAGTAGATTACCGGCGTTTAGAAGAGAAACGGTTAGCTAAAGCAGCTAAAGGTATAGCTATAGATACCGCGGTAGTGGGATTCTTAGCTTTCTTTCCACGGCCGCCCTTCTTACGGGGCTTAGCCGTGGCCTTTAAGGTATTTTCACCCTTTTCGCTTCCGGTATATAGTGCAGGGAATACTATAGCGCGGTGGCTACCGCGTTTTCCTTAGTCTTTAAGTCCAGTATTAATATACTTCTGGCCGAGGGTATAAAGGTCTTCGGGTATAACTACTTAGTTATCTATAAATCGTCCTTTAGCCTTAGTCTAATCGCGGCCGGTATAAGGGCGTATACCTTTAAAGAAATCTATAACCTATATATACATAGCGGGCTTCGAACCGGTATCTTTATAGCTTTATAGTAGTAGCTACCACTTATCTAACCACTCCCTAAGCTTCTTAAGGCTATTTGTAGAGTACTATACATGCTCGATATACTTTTCGTGGGTATCGGTTTAGCGGGTGGCTAAGTACTAATCCGTATCGCGTTTAACGGCTTCGTACACCTCGCGAGGCATACCTCCTTATAGTAGTTATTTACGGCTTTAGTCGATAGTATTAACCTACTAGGTTAGTATAGCGTTAATCCCCTTTAGGTAGCTATCGTATTACGTTTATAGGATCTTCTAGCGCGCGCTTTCGACGTCGTACGCTTTCTAGCCAGCGTCCGTAAGGTCGAGATATTATATAAGGGTACGCCTAGGCGTTATAGAGGGGAAAGAGTCGTAATTCGGTATTATAGGCTCCTCGGGTAACTAAGTCGGATCGACTAGGCGGAGAAACCTCTATATATTATTATAGGTAGTAACCGATTCGCACAGGCGTTACCAGAGCTCCTAATCCTTATAGGTTTTATACGTAATAGGGCTAAGATACGATATCTTAATAGTTATTTATAGATTAACACGCGATATCGGCGTAGCTAGATAGCTTCTTAAATCGGTAGTAGTGGTAGAGGTAAAAAGGTAGGTAAAATAGATATATCTTTACTTAGTAAGTAAGACTCTTAATTATCAGATAAAGCGTAGTTAAAATCGTCACACAATAGGTCAAGATTAATTAAGGTAATTATATACAATTATAACTATCTCAGACCGTCAGGGAAACGCTGCCACCGTATTTTATATAGTGCAGATTCTGTAAGCGTCCACCCGGATTATACTCTTAGCAATCCGGCCTATTACGTAACCGAAAAGACTGTGGTCTGTTCGACAAGTTGTCTTAGCAGGGTCAAACTGGTATGTCCTTGCCAGTCCCATGTGCGGGCATCTCAATGTTACCCGTGGCAGGTTACCTAAGTGCAAACTCAAAAGCCCTGTTATTCATCTCTGCACGAAGTAATTTCCCCGCCCCTTCTCGGCTTTAAAGTGGTGAATATTCTCCGTACAACGTAAGGATGTCTAAATTGTAACGAGGGGTCTGTTGGGGTACCTGGTACTCGAGACTTGGAGACCGACCGGCGACCACCACCTTCCGCCTGAGAGGCCGAGAGTCGAGACCTCCGTAATTCCCGGTGTTAGTACTCCGTCAGTACTTCGTACATACTCCGTACCCCCGAGTGGTACAGTGGTACATACCATGGAAAGAATCAAGAGCCCCGAAAACCAGGTGAACTTCCGGTCCGCGTTCGGGGAAGCAAAGCGGAGGGGGTTCAGTCGAAGATTATCTCCTACCCCTGACCTCCCTGAACAAGGGTTTATCCCGAGCTTGGCATGTTCTTCCGAGGACGTTGGGGATGGGTTATCAAGCTGTAGTCGTGTCAACTTGTGTGCGAATACCCTCCAACAACAACCCTTTACCATATCCGAGAAACCCCCCTGAAAGCCCTCTGACTTCCGCTCCCAGCCGGCTCCTCTGCTTCAAAGTCCAAACTTCGGTCATCATATATCGAACCACTCGAACACGTCGTCAGCACACCGCAACTTACAGCCCCCGCGGGCCGCCATGGTAACACCGCCTACCCAGAACCCGGTTCCCCAGGGGATCAAAACACCCCATCCTCACCTGCAGCACTGCATCGTCACCTTCCCACGGAACCACGTCGTACAGGTGACCATCAACCGCCCGCGCTATATGAACTGCCTCCCCGACGCCGCCTCGACCGAGCTGAGCTATTTCTGGAAATGGTACGACGCCGAGCCCGAGTCTGCGCTGTGCCGTTTTCACCGGCGCCGGCAACGAGGCCTTCTGCGCCGGAATGGACCTGAAGGAGCGTGCCGACCTGGTCAAGAAAGGGGATGCCGCATTCGAGTACCTCGCGGGTCAGTTCGCGGGCATGAGCAACCGGACGGGGAAGAAGCCGATTGTCGTCGCCTGTAATGGACATGCGCATGGTAGGTGAAGGCTACTTTTTTTTTCCAACAAGTTCAACTGGTCCGCGTCGTAAAACATCGCGCCTGACAATTTCCCAGGAAACGGGCGTCAGCCGGGCCACGATGAGAGGGCAGGAGTTGTGGGGGGAGAAGATGCTCAGGGGGCGCAATGCTTCGGAAGGGCTGACTGCGTATAAGGAGAAGAGAGATCCCAAGTGGTTCACTTCGAACTTGTAGTTTTCACCAAGTAATGATGTATGTGTAGATACGCTGATATATTGGCGCAAGAATTGCAAATCCCATTTAGAAATATTCATGTTCTGCTTCATAAGGTCGCTGTCGCTACATGTATCGTCATCTTTAGTATACATTGCTTTGTGTAATATTCGGGCCCCGGTTTCTCCCTGCTGTTGAGATGAGTGTCCACGCGGAACGAGCTTCTTGTCGTGCTGTTCGGTAACTTCAGTTAGCCAGATAGTGTTGAGATCATGAACCAAGGTAAAACTCACAGAGACATTGGATTATACCCCCCTGGTGATGCCCCGATAGTAAAAAATCCCACTCGCTTGCCCTTCGCCCCCTTACCCTCCACATCCCTATCTCAGGGGTATCTTCGAATATACCATATTCTCCCACATCCTGCGGATGCACTTGAGGTGCTGAACCTCTTTCCCCTCCCCATGTGCCGAGATTCTCCCCGCCAAGCCGATAGGAAAGGGTCATCTACATAACGCTGAGTATCGAACGGCGGTACTCCTGGAACATGGCCCGCCGTTGTGCGCGGGATGATGTCGAAAACGTCCTAATCTGACCATTTGAAGGCCAGGCCAATCTGCAAGGCCGTGAACGCGTATAGGACCGGGGGTAAGTCGTAGTGGATGTGCAGCTCCTCCTTAGAAATGCCGACTGCGTAGGTCTGGTCGGTGTCATGGTGTTAGAGGCAACAGCAACCACGCATCAGACACTCATCCAAAAGAAAGCTCAACTGTCTTGACAAGAGCACGGACTGAGTGAGCCGGTGGGGAAAGTTGACAGTCTGTAAACGTACGAAGAGAAGAACATGACGGGCGCATGGAGCTTAGAAGCTGCACCCGAGCATGAGTTGGTGGTTTTTGATAGCGAGTTTGCCTTGGTGGAAAATTGAGACGTTATGAAGTGGTTTTGCGCTATGTTGCGTTCTCGACGGACTGGGAAGACATCGTGTGAGGAACTTCTTCCCTTTGAACTATCGTGAGCCCTTAGCTTGGTGGATATACGCTGTACGGTATGCCGGCGTCACGAGTTCCTAGAGTCCGGCGGCAGGGTCTCGAATAGGCATGGGGACCCACGATCTTATTAGCTTGGGATAAAGTCCACTCAAGCCCGTGGGAGCTGGAGGCGGGCTCCTCACCTCGGCTTTTCGCTAGTCCCCCTAGCCGGAGCCGGAGCCGGGCCTAAGTCTCGACTGGGGCGTCTCGGGAATAGCGCATAGGTGTGGCGTCTACCCGTGACCATGCTTGGCGGGCATATTTTTGGGGTGGAACTGGCTGTAGATCTCTGTAAGTCGGGGGTTGCATAGATGGGCTTAGAAGCAGTCTCTCCTCTCGCCTACCCGCAGCTATGACATCCCCCCGCGAAAGATAGCGTTGTACAGCCTATAAAGACATATTTTGAAATCTATAATGTAAACTTCACGGCACTCTAAGAGTTCTAAATGTCTACGTCTACGAGTTCTTAGTTTCTTACAGATTAGACCGTCCAGCGTTGGCCATGGCCTTCCTCCTTCGCACCTCCGCTTGCACCAGCTCCGCAGGCATCTCCACAACCCTCCCCCTGAGCATCTCACTTACACGTTGCTCAAACCCGGTCAACTGGCTGCTGCTCTTGTTCGCGCCATTCTGGCCTGATTCCCTGATAACAAAGTGTACAGCCCATAAGTTGGGAAACTCACATCTCTCCACCGCAAACCTCTCATCCCATCCGTCCCCAAGCAACTCCCTCAACCTCGCGCTGCTCATAATCCCACGCAGCCACTCCCAAGCCCTCTCATCGCCGACCCAGAGCCCCACGCTCGCATCGATATCGTTTCCTCCCATACCCCCGGCAGTGGCCGTGGCCAGAGCCAAATGACCAAGCGGCCGCCTTATCGTCCCGGGAGGGAAAATTCTGCCCAGCATACCGTAGGTCGCCGCGCGACGTGGTTCGTAATCTGGCCGCGCGGGGACCTCTGCACAGTCCCTTGCCTCCTTTGCCGGAACATCGACGACCTGCCCCCCGGTAAACTGCACCCGGAGGGGAACCTCCACCCTCGGAGAGGGGGGAAGCCCCTTGACTCCGGAGAGGCGGACGCGGTCCCGATCGATCTGCTCCAGCTTCGCCCGGCGGTTATCGGCTACCACGTCCGGGTTCACGTAAAAGGGACCCCGGATCTCGGACAGGAGCCGCGCCTTGCACGAATCAACCGTGACGACACCCCGCGACCCGCCGACCTTGGTGACCACCACATCGCCGTCGTGACCGATTTCCACCACAGGGAACCCCAACTCCGGCACCGTGCCCTGCATGTGCGCGACGTGGTTCCCGCCCGTGAGACGACGCCCGTACGGCTGGCTCTCGATGAGACGACCCGCCATCGCAACCCCGGCGAGCCGGTCATGATCCCTCGCGTCCCAGCCCTGCCACCACGACGCGAGCCCCAATACGGAAGAGGCGTCGGCGCAGCGACCACACACCACGACATCCGCTCCGGCCTCTAGAGCACGCACGATGCCCGCCTGCCCGGTACACACATTCGCCAAAAGGACCCGGCTGTGCGATGAAGGGGAGAGCTCAAGGCCCGGCCGGTCGGCAGGGAAGCCCCCCGAGCGGACTTGGTCCGTGACGTTGTCGCCTTCGACCCATGCGACGTTGACGTTCTGTATTCCCAGACTCTTGAAATAGGCGTCTGCTTTCTCGGCGAGACGGCGGGGGTTGAGGGCACCGCCGTCGTGGACTATTTTGATGCGGGTTTGGGCGATGAGATGGGCGGTGGCGCCGTTGTTCCAGGCCAGCTGCTCGAGGAAGTTTGGGTCGTAGCCGAGGTCGGGGCGGGTTTGGAGCTGGGTGGCTTTCGAGGCGAGGGTGGATTTCGTGAGGTAGGCGATGGCGATGGCGTCGACGTTGCCTTCTTTTACTAGGCGGTGGAGTTGGTCGGATTTATTGTTGAGGGCCGCTGAGAAGGTGCCGATGCGAATAGGGCGTCGGGGCATGTTTGTGGGGGTTTAGGGGTTCAGGACGGAATTCGTAGAGTTGAGAAGTTGACAGTCGTAAGACTAAGACGGACCAAACGGCATTGCCAGAACATCGTGAGAGCCGGCCAGTGAAGAGTAGGCGGCGGCAACCAGGGAGGGCGAGGGTCTGAACGGTCCAAAGACTGCGGAGTAGCTTTTCCACATCAGCTCACTCCGGCAACGGGGCTCGGGGGTTACGGAGTAATAGTAGTACTTGGTGGTTCGCAGAAGAACCCCAAATCCAAGAATGCGGGGAAATGGCGCTAATGATTCAGTACAGTGTACGTAGAAATACCCCGAACACGAGGCGAGAATCCGGGGTCAGGGGCCTGTGCCGCCCTGGTTGGATATTCTCTCGCCAGGGTATCCCGGCCGTCGATCGACTTCGGGCTGTGCTGCTTCAGACATCGTGGTGACAGTTTGTCCGTCGAAGATGTTGGTCTTGCTGCGACTGAGTCAGTAAGTGATCACCTTACGAAAAAGTTGCATGTGTACATTGTCTCATCTCATTTGGGCAATTCGTCTAGGCATTTGATGTATTGGTCTCTGGAGGCTCAGATGCAGTGACTATTGATCAAAGCCCTGCATTTCCCGTCCACTGTAGTCCATCTATGCTTGATGGTTTGATTACTCCAAAATCTATCATCTGTTCTGTAACATACTTGCACGGGAGTTTGTCGTGTAAGTGTAATGCAAGTGAAGGCGGAGATTTTCATGTCACTTCCCCGTCTCCGTTTAATATGCCCTTTTTTCCCTTGGTTATATAGAAAGGGGTTTTTTCGTTTATTATGTACTTCGACCTCTCAATGAGGGACAAAAGGACACATCCGAAATAAATTATAATTGATTAGCACTCGCCAAGGCAGGTTGGTTCGGGGAGCGAAATCCGGACCCGGACTACCGGGACTCCGGGCTAGAGCCCAAGGGCCCGCCCCTTAAAATGAACAATGCCCCCTCCCGATCTGGGTAGGACAGTGATAGTGAGGGAACAACACGCCTCACAATCACCATTTCGCACATTCCAACTCCATCTACGACCTCCCACGAAAGAAAAGGAGCACGGTTTACGAAAATGAGCGTTCCCAGCAACCGCATCGTGGTCATCGCCACCGTCCCGACCAGCTCCGTCGAGAAGCGCGACGAGGTGAGGCCCCAGCCCCTTTCTAATCCCCCCCTTTTCCCATGTTATCCGAAGATGCTATTCCAGCGTCGTCAACCGTCTTCCAAAGTCTCCCGGCTAACCGACAATTCACTCCCTTAGCTCATCAAGCAGCTCCTCGGCGCTGCGGACGCCGCACAAAACAATGAACCAGGCACCCTCAAATACGCCGTCTGCGTCCCCCGCGACCCTGCAAAGGAGACCGACATTTGGATGATTGAGGAGTAAGTCTCCCCAAATCCCAACCGCGTCTGTTCTTACATCTAACTGCTGGAAAACACCAGATACGCCGACAAAGCCGCCCTCGACCAACACATGTCCCTCCCCACCATAACAGCCATGGCCGCCTGGATCGGCGCCAACCCGGGCCCCTCCCCCCCCACCATCCGGACCCTCGCCTACCCTTCCGACACCTTCCAGTTCAGCCGCGCCGCCGTCGCGGACCAAAAAGACCCCTGGATCATCGCCGCCGAGCTCAACTACCACCCGGACGGCGCGGCCACCTCGATCCCCTACTGGCAGGCCGTCGTGGACGAGGGCCGGGAAAAAGAAGACGGCACACTGGTGTACGGCGTCCTCAAGGACGTGTCGAATGCGGAGAGGCTGTGGACTATTGAGGCGTATGAGAGCGAGACATACCTCAAGGATGTGCATGTCAAGAGCAACGCCATTGCCGAGAGCATCAAGAACACGAAGCACCTGAGGACCGGGCTGGAGTGGGTTTTCTTGACGATTAAAGGGGGGTTTTTGCACAAGTAGGGGAGCGTTAGTATGATAATAATACCATGAATACTATGAGTACCATGTTAGCGATGCATCTCACTTGTCCGCATTGCTTTGTTGTCTTTGGTGGAGGGCTAGATAGCAGGTCCGAGGATGTTCAGGCTTAAGAGGCCTCGAAGCTAGGCCACCATCTTGCGTAGCCCTCAATTCGAAATCCCTCCATTGGCAAAACGAAAAAAGAAAGGAAAGGAAACATTCCAATGGACCGGGTAACCATTAGAGCTAGTCTCATTATAGCCTCGACGGTGCTCACTGCTCACGCCCCAGCCGATTCAGCAACCTAATTTCTCACACTATCTGACAACTAAGTACCCTCTCACTAACTACTGTAGGCTTCGTGATTCCAGGCCATGTCTTTTTGCGGTGGCAAAGACTTCTCGGGCTCATCCGCATCACCTCGACTGCTTCATGTGAAACAGGAACAGAAAAAGTTGAGACTGGAAATTATATCCGAGTTCATACATGGCACGTGGAGATCCAATGACAGTACCGGAGTGAACAGGTAGATCTGACTGCACGCTGAACGGCCCATCCGGGCCATCCCCTCCAGTACGAACATGAAGTAGTCAGTAGCCCCGCGGCCATGCCCGATCCCCGTCTCCCACCACCCCGGCCAAGCCATCGGGTACTGAATCATTAGCGTGGACCCCTCCCCCGCGGCCTACGAGTCCGTTGGTGGTGGTCTCTCCCATTGCCCCTCGTTGCCCCTCGTTGAACCCCCCAGTCCCCCACCATTAGGGCGTCACAGGGACTTGACTTTACGCATTCAGAGCACGCGGAGTTCCTCACACTCGAAGGGCCCGGACCTCTCTCTCATGGCTGGCAAGTGGCTTGGCCCATGATAAATCATCTCTCAAACGTCTCCCTTCCATTACCCGGGTCTAGAAGGGGTTGGCTCCTGAAAAAACGACTATATATCGGCCATCTCGTCCTCATCCCCCTTTCGAACCAAGATCGCCCATCCTCCTTCAACAATCATAGCACAGCCTCACTGATCCCTTGAGAGAACACATCTTTGCTCCAAAAAGGCCAGGCTGTCGAGCTCTCTATCCCTCCAATTCCCTGTGCTTCCTTCCGTCCCTTCTCACACACACATCACCATGGCTCCCAGTGCAACCAACGGCGTCAACGGTGGCGGCGCGAAGCGTCCCATCAAGATTGCCGGCTGCTCAGGAGGTAACACTCCTCCTTCTCCTCCCTTTCTCTCCAACAAGCCCCCGGAAACTGACACGTCTCTCTCCAGGTGTCTACGACCGCAAGCGCGCCATCCACGACATGGCCAAGAACGAAGACGTCGACGTCATCACCGGCGACTGGATGAGCGAGTGCAACATGACCCTCCGCGGCTCCGACAAGCGCGACAACCTCGCCCAGAAGGCCATGACCTCGGGCTCCACCGTCGTCGCCAAGGGCTACGAGCCTTACTTCCTCGACGAGCTCGACCCGGCCATCCCCTGGCTGGCGAAGCGCGGTGTCAAGGTCGCCGTGAATGCCGGCGCCAGTGACGTCCACGGTCTGGCCGCCGCCGTCAGGGAGCTCATTGCCAAGCACGGCGTCGATCTCAAGGTCGGTGTCGTGGATGGCGATGATGTTACCGATGCGGTGCTCGACTTGTACAAGAAGGGTGAGTATTCTTTTGTTTCCATTCATGGGAGAAGAGAGATAATGAAGAAGAAAAAAAGAAAGACAAACGAAGAAAATGAAAGGCTAACAAACCCCCAGGCGAGCCGTTCTACAACCTCCCCGCCAACAAGGCCATCCAGGACTGGGGCTACGACCCTATCTGCGCCCAGTGCTACCTCGGCGGCACCGGCATCGCCGAGTGCTTCAAGGCCGGCGCTGACATTGTACTCTGCGGTCGTGTCGCCGACGCTTCCGTCACTGTCGGCGCTGCCATGTGGTGGCACGGCTGGACCCGGGACAACCTCGACGAGCTGGCGAGCGCTCTGATGGTCGGCCACATCATCGAGTGCAGCACTTACGCCACCGGCGGGTACTACTCCGGCTTCAAGAGCCTGGGTGACAACGACACTGACATGGGATGTGAGTGATCTTGACCCCTGAGCCCCTGAGCCCCTGAGCCCTGAATTCGTTTACCCCTGAACAACCCCGCCCCCTTTTTCTATTGCGCTGCATTGTACTGATTTCCGCCCCAGACCCCATCGCTGCTGTCGACGAAAAGGGCGACGCCGTTATCACCATGGAGAAGGGCAAGCATGGTCTGGTCAATATCCAGACCGTTGCCAGCCAGCTCCTCTACGAGATCCAGGGCCCTCTCTACTACAACTCGGACGTTACCGCCCAGATCGACAACATCGTCCTGACACAAGTCGGCGAGAACGCCGTCCACATGTCTGGCGTCAAGGGTCTCCCTGCTCCTTCAACAACCAAGAGTGAGTCGTATTTCCCACCTCATACCAGCCAGCCCAAACCAATGAACTAACTTCATCCCCCCCCCCAGTCGGCATCACCGCCAAGGGAGGCTGGCAAGCCGAATTCCACTTCTACCTCACCGGCCTCGACATCGCCGAAAAGGCCGCCATGGTGGAGCGCCAAACCAAGGCCCTGATGGGCGAGCACATCAGCCGCTTCTCCTGCCTCAAGTTCATGGTCGCCGGCTCCGTGCCCGAGAACCCCGAGTCGCAGGAAGAAGCGACGGTGGACATGCGCATCTTCGCCCAGACGCGCGACCCGGACCTGCTCTCGGGCAACTCCTTCGTCGACTCGGACCGCGGCTCCTTCGCGCGCTTCTGCATCGAGAACCTCCTGCAGGGCTACCCGGGCAGCACCATGGCCCCGGACATGCGCACCGCCATCGGCCGCCCCTTCTTCGAGTACTGGGTCTCCCTCCTCCCGCAGTCCTTCGTCAAGGAGACCGCCCACCTGCCCGACGGCTCCGTCGTCGAGGTCCCCACCCCGACCAACACCCGCGAGTACCCGCGCGAGCAGCCCGACCTGCCCGTCACCCTGCGCCCCGTCGACCTGGCCTCCTTCGGCCCCACCACCCGGGGCCCGCTCGGCTGGGTCGTCCTGGGCCGCTCCGGCGACAAGAGCTCCAACGCCAACCTCGGCCTCTTTGTCCGCCACGCCGACGAGTGGGATTGGCTCCGCACCATGCTCACCACCGCCAAGCTCCGCGAGCTGCTGGGCAAGAACGAAACCGGGAAGCAGATTGACCGCTTCGAGTTCCCCAACATCCTCGCTGTGCACTTCCTCCTCAAGGACCATCTGGACCGCGGCTTCAACTCCACCAGCTCGTTTGACAGCTTGGGCAAGAACCTTTGCGAGTATATCCGCTGCAAGCATGTGGATATTCCCAACAAGTTCCTCGAGAGGGGCCGTATTTAGATGGGGGGGCCGGGGCATGTAGTCCCGTCGTTGTATGATGGAATGAGAACACACAAAATCAGACAGAATGTAGTTCAGCCTTTCCTTTTGTCAAAGAAATAAATAAATAAAAACCATTCTTCAAATCAGACGATTTCGAGTCATGTTGCGTTGTGAGAACATGAACGTTGGACATATTCCTCCTAGGGCAGAGCCCCCTACCTCTGTCCCTTGCGTATGTTCAACCTCAACATTGGTGATGCGTGAATCGGAATCGAATCGAAACCTCAGTTGTCATAATTTACATTGCCCAACGAAGCCCGTTAAATGCAGACGTAGCAAATCACCAAATCGTACAATCCAAGAAACTGCTTCAAGACTCTTGGGTCCGAAATCTCGTCCAGCTACGGATACATATAAAAAAGACCCCTCTAGCAGTACCATCCGCCATCAATGGTAATGGCGGTGCCCGAAACGTAGGTCGATTCATCGCTCAACAAAAAGGCAATCAACTTGGCCACCTCTTCCGGCTTACCGGCTCTCTGCAGGGCAACACCGGGGTCGTTCTCAGTGTTGCCCAGACTAGCAAGCATGGGGGTCTCGATGCGTCCCCTATAGCGATGTGAGTATTCGTTCGCTTAAAAAGAAAAAGGAGAGAGAGAGAGAGGGGGGGGGGAAAGAAAACTCACGGACAGACGGCATTCACCCTCACCTGCCTCGCCCCAACCTCCTTCGCCGCACTCTTCGTCAACCCAACCACGCCATGCTTGCTCGCCGCATACGCAGCATTCCTCGGCCGCCCCGCGATACCGGCAACCGAGCTCGCATTAACAACACTCCCGCCGTCGGCAATCACGCGGAGCTGGGCCCGCATGCAGTGCATAACGCCCGTGAGGTTGACGCCCGTGACAAAGTCCCACTCGCCCAAGTCCTGCTCGGAGAGGGGCGCCACGCCGATGGACTTGGGGATGACGCCGGCGAGGTTCGCGGCGCCGTCGAGCCGGCCGAAGCGCGACACGGTCTCCGACACCCACTTGTCGACGGCGGCGTGGTCGCGGACGTCGACGACGGAGAGCATCACCTCGGCGGCGGGGTGCGCCTTTTCGATGGCCGCTTTGGTGGCCTCCAGGCCTTCCTGCTGCACGTCGGCCAGGGAGAGCCGGGCGCCGCGGGAGGCGAGGACGTAGGCAGTGGTTTGGCCTATGCCCGAGGCTGCGCCGGTGAGGGCGATGACCTTGTCGGCGAACTGGGTGGGAGAAGTCATGGTATGTATGTGGGGTGTTGAAGTCAAAGGTGGTCTGGTCGTGGTTGTGGTTGTGGTGGGTCGGAGAGCGAGTAAACGAATGCCTGGGAGTTGCTTTTTTCTGGAGGGAGGAAGAGAAACGAGTCGAGGAGGGTAGTGCAGCGTTGGAGGGTCGTTACAGCAGTAGACCGAATAATAAGTGTCTTGGCGGCAATAGATTTCCGATGGGCAGTTGATGCTCCCATCTGCCGCATCTCCCCCCTCTTCCCCCTCTCCCCCTTTTCCCCCTTTCCCCCTTTTCCCCCCACAAATGCTCCGGGCCGCTTGTGATACCCGGTGTAAGGTTGGAAAAAGTTACCAACTCAATACTGAGAGAGTCTCAGTGAATCCGATCTTTGCTCTCCCCGCCCCTCATTTCATGTATTCAACCCGATCGCATTCCTGCTTCAGCCAGTTACACCAGCCGTCATCCCCAAGAATGGATCTCACTCTCGCTTCAAGCCACTCGGTGTTCCCCCAGAAGCCCCAAGATGCCTGGAAGCGACACCAATCCACGAGGGCCGTCTCCCAATGACGGACGAAATCGTTCCAGTCGTACGCCGACGGGCCCTTGCCTGACGTTGTGCCAGAGAGAAGGGTCTGGCGGTACTGCTCCAACAATGCCTTCTCCCCTTCGCCCATGGCCAGTTCCTGCGGCACGTCGCAAGGGCCACGGCAATCGGCGAGCATGCCGAGGGGGACGGAACAGGTAAAGAGCTTGGCGAGGTCGCAAACCCCCAGACCCAGCCCGACGTACTGGAAATCGAAAAAGGCCACCCGGTCGCCCAGCTCGGTCGTGAAGAGATTCTCCGACTTGACGTCGCCGTGAATGTACGTCTCAAAAGGCCTCCCCGACGGCGTGAGGAAAGCGGCAACCAGTTCCGCAACAGACATGGACGACGACGAGGATCCATCATCCTTCCCGGTCGTCTCGGAAAAAGGGTCGCAAAGGGCGGCGCACCACTCCGAGGTCTCGTCCTCGGCAAGAGATGCGTACTCTTTCCGCCGGGTCGCCAGGTACGTGTACCCGCCGTTCAGCCACAGCTTCGACCGCTCGGGATCCACTTCGCCAGATCGTCGGCGCTTCGCCTCCTCGAGGGGCGGGAGGAGGAATAAGTCAAGCTCCTTGTCCGGCAGCGAGGCCCAGGAGCTGCGGTGGAACCGGGCCAGCCAGTCCAGAGCCGCGCGGACCTGTCGGGGGAGCAAGGCGGACCGTTTCCCGCCGGCGACGGGGAACGCTGGGCGCAAGTCGGACATGAGGGTGGCGGTCAGGCCGCGGAGTTCCTCGGCGTGCGGTTTCCCGGTCGAGTCCCGGGTCGAGGCGAGGCATCTCGCGACGGCGACGTCGTCTTCCAGTAGACGGGGCGCGATCTCCTGATAGAAGTGCTGCTCGACTTGGTAGCTCAGCATCTTCCGCAAGTGGCCTTCGTCTTCGGTGCGGTCGCCGAGGGCTGGGGGGCAGATCAGCTTCAGGATCATGCGCGAGGTGGTGTTGGTCTTGTCGTTGGGCTCTCGCGCTGCGATGGCGCAGATGTGGCCGTAGCCTGCCCAGAGAGTCTGAATCTTCGTACAAGAGACGAGGTCTAGACCCAGCCATGACAACATGATCTCGGCGACGCGCCGAGGCTTTATTACAAGAGGAGGCATTCTGCGATGGGTGACCTCTTGTCACTTGTGTGGGAGGGGGAGGGCCGATTGTCCGAGTTGCTTTTTTCTGTTGCCACGAAAAGAGCCAAGTTCTTCTTTAGTTAGTTTGACGTTCAACTCCCGGAATGATGGGTAGAACCAGTTGAATGTGGATGGGACAAGAGGAGAACTTGAACTTGACGATGGAAAGAGAGGAGGGAACCCCGTGATTGAGAGAATTAATGTACAATTGACCGAAGGTACGGTACATGCCTGTATTTGTACAAGTCCCAGTGGGTCCAACTTCTGATGGAACAACCCAAGAATCGAAGATGAAGAAACCTATATGAAACAACAGGAAAAGGACCAATACTAGGAAATAATAACCGAGTAAAAGACAGAATAAAATATGCAACTCAGTGGACAGGGGGGGGAAACCGGCAGAAAAGACAAAGACCGCGGAGGAAAAGGCGAAGGAAGCTCAGAGTAAATAAGGTACACATCATCAGCGTGTACTTCATAGGTATCTTAAGCTGAGTGCTTCGTACCTTAATTAGGTACGGAGTACTTCGCTAAATTGACCTCCACCGTCAGTGCTCCTCTACCTAAAGTACCCTACCCATCAGGGTACCTAAACTGCCTAAACTCCCCCTCCCTCCCAAATGACGACAGGGGACATGGCACAGAATGAATATTCTACCATCACCTTCTCAACTCTTCTCTCTTTTCCAATTCACATATATCAGCCACGATCAGATGATCAGACTCCTCTCCCCGGAAAATCTGGCAAGAACAGTCCCAACCCGCGCTACAGCATGGGAAGACTCCAACCCTCCCGTGGCCTTCCACCCGCAGGCTTTCGTCGAGCGGCTCGAGCCAAAAAGGCCAAGGCCACCATCAACCAGCTCATCCCCTCCCTCCTGTCCACTCATCCAAGAGCCCGTCGAGGAATCGATGCCGCAGAGCTCATCGTCTTCGACCAAGAAACGGGGACGTTAAGGGGCCCGTCAGGCGAGACACTCCGGGCACCCAGCCATAGCCATGCCAGCAGCAAGACCAACATCTCACAAACCAATTCCCCGTCTCCCCGGATCACCCTCGTAGTAGCCGACACCCTCGCCGCCGCCCGCGCTCTCACCATCGAAACCCCCAATCCAGAACCCAAACCCACCAATCCCACCGACACGACAACCAACAACAAACCGACCCAAGAATCCTCCTCCCCGTCCTCCTCCCCCTTCGACCCCCACCACGCCCACCACGTCGCCATCCTCAACATGGCCTCCCCCCTAACCCCCGGCGGCGGCTTCCTCAACGGCGCCACCAGCCAAGAAGAATCCCTCTGCATGCGCACCACCCTCCTCCCCTCGCTACGGGACCACTACTACCGTCTCCCGGACCTAGGCGCCATCTACACCCCCGACGTCCTGGTCTTCCGCTCCGAGGACGACACCGCCGCCGCCGCCGCCGCCGCAGTCGACGTCCTCGACAAAAAGGACCGCTGGTTCGTCGACTGCGTCAGCGCCGCCATGCCGCGCAACCCGGACACGGAAGCCGACCCCTCGTCCGGTCGGAGACGCTATGTCCGCGACAAGGACCGCCAGCTGGTCCTGGACAAGATGAAGATGGTCATGCGCGTCTGTCGCGTTAAAGGTGTCCGGAGGGTCGTGCTCGGAGCGTGGGGGTGTGGCGCTTACGGGAATCCCGTTGGCGAGGTGGCGGCTGCTTGGCGGAAGGTGCTGTTGCCGAGGACCACAGATGGCGGCAAGGGGAAGAAGAAGAAAGGGGGAGGGGGAGGGGGGGGCGGAGGCGGAAGCGGAGCCGTCAAGGAGGACTGGAGGGATGTGGTCGAAGAGGTTGTCTTCGCTGTCAAAGATGCCGGCATGGCTGACGCTTTCGCTGCTGCGTTTGGAGAGGGTCTCGTGCGAGAGGAGCTGGCCGGATCGCATGGGGGAGAGGACGAAGGAGGGGACGGAGAGGAGGAGGGAGGTGACCAGGAGGACGACCCGGGACAAGCAGACAGGGCGGAGCTCCGAGCTAGGATTCATGAGCTCGAGGTCCGTATTCAGGCGTCCACGAATCCGCAACTCAAACAGGGGCTGCTCTCCATCCTCGCCAGCTTGGTCAACCAGCTCCCTGCAGACGAGGACTCCGATCTCAGTGGAGAGGTCTAGCGGAGCCTTTGCTTAGACGCCCCAGCACGATTCCACTTCCAACCACAAATCTCAACGGTGAATGATACCACCGGTCAGCAGATATAATTCATGATATTCCTGTCTGACCTTCCAAGATCGACGGCATGTTTCTCGCACCCAGATGAACGAACCGATTATTACTAAATTACAAACGACGTCGCCCACGACCTTTCCGTGTCACATTGCTTCCAGTCACTCCTCGGCTGCCTTCGAGCCAACATCACTAGCTTTATGGAGTGTATACCACTCTGCTCTTGGAGATGAGATCCCCTTCAGCTCCCACAGATTTCGAACAAAAGAGACGCCCAAAATTGAAACAAGGAGAGAGTGAGAAAGTGAGTGCGAAAGAGCGAGAATACAGCGAGAAGAAAAGAAAAAACCGAAGCGAGGGGGAAAGGGTGATTGAACACCCGCAAGGTTTGTCTCCAGCGCCAAACAAGAGTCCGCGGAGAGGAGACGCAATAATACTTCAATACGTCAGCATACGGTCCCTGCTGAGCATGCCTCCCATGTGCTTCTGGACCGTGGCGAAGCGCTTGTATCCACACGACTCGCTCTCCAGATGGTTGATGAGGCCAGCCAAGCTCTTGAAATCCGACCTGCAGCCCCGATTGGGACAATGATAGAGGCTCTGTTGGTCTCAAAACGATGTCGCGGGGAGAAGAAAGAAAGGAAAAAAGACCCCTTATATTAGCATGAAGCCCGCCGGTACGAAGTAGGACAAAGCACTCACGGACAGGCGATTTGAGATGCATGTTCAGACCATGCAAACTGTTAAACTCGCGATGGCAAAGGACACATTCGTAGAAATCTCCGTTCCAGGATGCCGAAGTTGCCTCGTACTCGCTGGATCCGTGCCAGTCGAGCAAGTTCTTCGATATGGCACCGTGCGGGTCCTGTCTTCGAACGATCTCGTAGACGCGGTCTCGGCTGAGGAAAGGAGCTTTCCTGCAGCCGCCCGACTCCAGGTGATGAGCGAGCCCCGTGGCGGTTACGAAGCTTCTGTCGCAGAAGGGGCAGTCCATCTGCGTGCCCTTGTGGACGCGCGAGTTGAGGTGCTGCGAGACGAGGGGGACGGCCGCCCACAATTTATCAGTTCGATTTTGTTTTGTTTTTGTCTCAAGTTTTATCTCGCAAGAAATGAAAATGTGTGTTTTGAAAGGGGTTCATGTTCACTGACCATCCTGAGGTTATTGGCGTTGTTGAACCTTCAGTCGCAATCGGCACAGTAGTGGTGCGTGTTGATCTCATGAGAGTCGCAGTCTTCTTCCTCGCGGAAGATCGTATTACAGAACCGGCACTCGTAGGGATATTCGTCGTCCTGATTGAAGTGGTTGGTGTCCCTCATGTGCTGATCACACGCTCCCGAGGTTCGGAAACGCCGCGTGCAGGTATCGCATTCATAGTACCCCATGGTGACGATCTTGGCTGGCTTCTTGGTCGTCCCCGACAAAGTCGTGTTTGACTGTACGGTGATTCAAGTCAGTGATTCGTACGTACAGCGTGCTTCCTGTTGCAGGGTTGGACGACAGCCAGTCAATTAGCCGACGAGTGTGGATAGGAATCCCAATGATGCGTTGTTCATGCAGGAGGAACGCGAAGCTGCATGACCGACCGCGTCCCTGGGTTATGGAGAGGTGGAGAAATGCTCACCGTCACGTGATTCTACCCCTATTCTGTAAAATGGAGGGATCCACCGAGCACAATTACGTAACGAAACCTGTCAATTGAAGTTGCTGTTCCAGACTGGGATTGAGCCATGGTACTTATACGCAGTTCTTTCCCCAATCAGACTTCTATACTGTCTCCGTTTGGACCTCATCTTGTAGAAATTCTATATTTTCTGACCGACGATTTCCTACATGACAAACGCTCGAATTTCGGCTGCGCCGGACCGATACAGTTATGCGTTGTACAGCTTTGAAATGCTCGCCATCGCGTGGTATTACCCGATCGTGTCCATTTAGTCACGTGACTCCTCTCTCATTAGTCCTTTGCCGCGGAACGAGACCGCGCATTCCGGAATCTCTCTTACCTATGAGACAACCGATAAGATAAGAATCATGTGATTGATTTTGGAGCAACAAAGGGTAATGCGAGGAGGTGCAGCTCGACATATCGAGAGGTCGCAAAACTTCCACTTCACAGCTACCTTACAGACAGGACCCATCACTAACTACGAAGTCCTTGCTTCATATGAACTGCGGATTAGTATTCACCCGTCTAAGCCGACTCATTCGCTGCTAACGACAACACCAAAGAGGAAACATCACAACATGGGGTCAGTAGTACTGCCTCATCTGAATTCTGCCTGGCACGTCGACCAGGCAATCTTATCAGGTCAGTAACACTCGGCGTTCATTCTCCCTTACATCTGGGTTTTCCCACGGCGCAGGTTTGCAGAATCTGAAGCGCTGACTTTCGCTTCATATAGAGGAAGATCGCCTCGTCGTGATACGGTTCGGACGTGACCACGATCCGGTAAGGAGAAAGACATTTGCCTGTCGAATCCCACTTTCGGTTCCGCCGGTCGTGCTGACGAGTAGTTTCAGGACTGTATGCGTCAAGACGAAGTACTTTACAAGATTGCTAATCGAGTGAAGAACTTTGCTGCCGTCTACCTCTGTGACATCGACCAGGTGCGTCCCCGCCCCCCCTCCTTTTGTTTGTGCATCTGGGCGGGTGAGTGAGCGGCCTCTTACGCCCCACAGGTCCCCGATTTCAACGGCATGTACGAGCTGTACGACCCCTGTACCATCATGTTCTTCTTCCGCAACAAGCACATGATGTGCGATTTCGGCACCGGCGACAACAACAAGCTCAACTGGGTGCTGGAGGATAAGCAGGAGCTTATCGACATCATCGAGACCATCTACAGGGGGGCCAAGAAGGGCAAGGGTTTGGTGGTCAGCCCGAAGGACTACAGCACACGACATAGATACTAATACCCCAAGCGTACCAAATCCTATTTCTGTTTCCATTTTCGTTTCACCTGAGTTGTTGATCTTCTGAGCCCAGTGGTCCTTGTGAACATCGGTGCTTGCAACAAGGCTGGGAGACTCGGGCATGAATTGCCCAGTTCACTCTGGGTTCGACATCCTCAATGTTCCTTACATTTAGACCGATCCTCATGGTTTAGGCAGCCCGGGTTGACTGTTTCTCGTTGGCACCAGACGGTTTCCCGCTTACAGCGATAGGGGCGCTCACCAGAGGACGAAGATGAAGAACACCTGGCCAAGAGCGACACGACCAGAGATGGTGCAAGGAAACCAAAAGAAGGATGAGATTGATTTACCATCTACTCTTGAAAAGGTCCCGACATCGTACGTAAAGTGCACCATTCCGGATATTCATGAAACCGCCGTCCACCTGATTTCCTGCAGCCCGTTTCTTCAAATCTCGATACCAGCGTTCAGATTGGTGAGCTGCTATCCCAAGTATCTCGGCCGTCAGTCTTCCCGTCTTTTTTTTTTTCTTTTCTTTTTTTTCCCGACTAGATCCATTTATTTCTCTTTTCCTCAAGAAACAAGAAGAAAAAAAGAAGAAGAAAATTAAGAAAACAAGTCGCTCCCATGAAATGTCCGAGTTCTCGCACTTGTGACGGCTTCCTCACCGTACCTTCACGAATCCTGCCAATGCCTAAACACACGTTAGCCAAATACGCCCCGGGGATGTACGTTGTCGCATCAACATTCGGGAGGAGGGGGGGGAGAGGAGAGGATAACAGCCCACTAACCCAGCAGAAGACCCCCCACGCTGAAGGCCATTCCCCCAGCGCCGCATACCCATCCTCATCATTCCAGTTATCCTCCCCCTCTGTTCTTATAGCGAGGGTCATCTTTAGGTACGTTGCAGCCGACACACGGGTTGTTCATCTTGAAAGGGATGCCGATCGCCGCAATGGCCGGGGAGGCCAGTAGGCCGAATAGTGTGAAGAAAACGAGAGGCTTCATATTCTTCTTTCGTTTTGTCTTCTTCGAAAAATGTTCGTGATAGTTTGCGATATGTATGCCTTGGAGGGATTTTTCGAGTTATCTTGGAGGACAGGGGTATCAACAAGGATCAGGACGAGAACGGAAGGACTACATAATCAGAGTACCCCCAGTCCTCCCTTACCCATTCTTTATATAATTAGACCTCGTATAACAAGGACTAATAATGCTCAAAGTTTTGGCGGTCCGGAGGCTTGGAGCCAAACAGGGCAATCAGCAAGGCTTCCCCCAAGTGCTCCTAAGGCGGCACCTCGGGCGTTGTGGCTGAATAGTTACTCTCCCATTGCTAGGCCGAATGACTTTTAGCCATTCGCCATATTGTTTCGCACCATAGAAAACATGGTCTGGAACGTGGCTTGCGATGCAGAGGGAGTAAGCGAATTTGGCATAGGTAACCGAAATGTTATTGACGACCCAGAATTGAACAACATCGGCGTCGCGTGGCTTGATTTGTCTTCACCCCTTCTCATTGTGACTTTCAAAATTTCTGCAGTGATTGATGGTGACCTTGTCCACCGGTTCCATGGCAGGACGATGCCGACAGGATTCCAATAAATATAAGCACATTCGTGGAGCATGTGTGATACCGTAAAGACTCAACCAACTCGACTCTGCGCTAGCCAGCGCTATACTGCTTTTCACCCAATCTCCATTCCAGGAATGATATCCTATTAGATAGCAGAGAAATAAAGACACGATCTCGGATAAGGTATTAACACTTCGGTTATCTGATAAGCCCCTGAAATAAGCCCTTCTTATTGGATATTTCCAAAGAAATCTGGGGGAAGGGCACCAAGCCAGTAGCGCATAGTCGAGTTAGTTGAGTCTTTACGGTATGATACACATAAACGGCAAAAGAAACCTACCAAGTACGGATACAAGACTCTCGGTCTGATCAAGTCACTAAAAACAACACTTGGTTTGACTGCTAATATATATGTGCAACATTAACCGGCGTCCGCAAGCCATAAGAAGGCTAGTGCCGGGCTATGGACATCGCAAGCAAAGCTATCTGCTCCTAAGAATATCAGAGCGGCGGCCCATCCCAAGCTTTGGCAATTATCCGCCTGTCCCTGTCATCGGCTGGGATAACAACAGCCTGGTCTATCGGCGAGATGAGAGCGCGGAGCGCTGGGAAGAGCCGCCGGGGCTCTTCGTCTATGAAGGGTATGTGAATGTGTGTATGTAACGCCATTTCCGTATAACATCGCCGTCAACCAATTCCAAACCTCCCGTGTACCCATTGCCATGCTTGCAATCAGGTCGTGACATGATGAAATGGGGGGAAAAGGAAGCAGGAAAGAAAAAAAAATCAAGGCATGAAAAATGCGTCGCCGTTGCTTTGTTTCTATGTCCGCGGCGGTGGATAGATGGGCTAGATCAAGATGACGGTAGGGGGTCGGCGAGTCGCCAGGTTCAAGCCCTACCCATCATAATTCCTCGAATAACTTCGTCAAGTGCTTCATGCAGAGGATGTAGGGCTTCCATTCAAGAAGCCCCGAGTTCGTTCCGCTTCTTTGTCTTCTCAAATTTGCCGATGGTCTATTCGTTGCATTATGATCCGAGACACAGGCGGCCCGCCACTATCCGGAGGTAAACAGTTCCCCTTGCTCTCACCGCAAGAAAAACGATGATTACCAATTACAAAACATAAAGTAATGGTTGATGTAGAAGTTGTAAACGTTGATGATGAGAAGGGGAAGCGTGTGGTACCAGGTGAAGCCGGTGACGAGCCTCCAGGTCACGACGCCGATCATCGAACCCATGACCATGATTGTCCAGAAAATGCAGAGGAGGCGCATGTTGCGATACTTGTTGCTCTTGTGTGCCTTGGTATCGCCCGAGGCTGCCCAGAGCAGCTCAATGTTGAACAGGCGGTCCTTAATGGCCGTGAGATACGCATAGCTCTGCACCGTCGTGGCATGCTGGACGTTGAAGCCGTACTTGGCCTTGGCCCAAACACGCATGAGGATAACACCATAGAGGATGGATGGGATGGCAAAGGCTAGGTTCCAGTACCGGAAGAACTCGGGGCGAACGGCGAGCAGGAGCGTACCAGCGATGGGGGCGAGGAAGATGTTCAGCGAGACGGCGGAATAATAGAGGAAGCCTGGAAGCGACAATGTTTGGTCAGTACTTCACAATGAATGGCGACATCGGATACGCATGAAGAAATTGAGAGGTGCCATACCCGAAAGATAGCAGACCTTCTGCATGAAGGTCAAATTGGACACCCAGAAGTGGCCGTTGGTGAGAAGAGTAGTGCTGCCACGTGCCCATCGCATCTGCTGCGAGAAAAACGCCCTAGGGGAATCGGGACACACGCCGGTGGCCAAGCAGAGCGGAATATACTTGACTTTCCAGCCGCGATCGACGGCGCCAAAACTAGCCCCATGTCAGCACGGTGATTCCATTGCACGCCGTCTTGCCATTTTCCGAAAACACAATATTCAAACTTACCCCGTGTGTACGTCTTCGGAGAAACCAATCTCGGCCGTGCCACCGACCTCCTCGAGGGCCGCTCGGCGGTAGACGGCATTGCTGCCGACGCAAATGGACGCGCCCCATCGATTGCGGTTGACTTGGACGACGCGGTAAAAGAGCTCTTGGGTGGCACCGGCGCCCTGTTCGACCCACGTCTGTTCCTCGAGGACGCGGAAAAACTGGGGGCTCTGCACGATGGCGGTCTTGGGATCGTCCAGATGCTCGACAATAAGTTCCTTAATGAAGTCGGGGCGAGGGCAAAAGTCCGCATCGAAAATACAGAAAAAGTCGCCGTTGGTGCGAGCGAAGGTCCACCGGAGATTGCCGGCCTTTCGGAGACGGGGACGGTCGTCGCGAACCGAATAGATGAAGCCGAAGCTCTCGGCCAGTTGCCGAACCTCGTCGAGGACTCCGTCGTCCATGACGTACACCTTGAGCTTGTGGGCGGGCCAGTCGAGTTTGGCAATATGACGCCAAGTGTTGTTCAAAATCTCGATGGGCTCCTTGCAGACCGGTAGGAAAATATCGACAGTCGGTGCGGTTTCGTCGGTGATGGGATGTCGCTCGATAAGCCCAAGATGGGCCTGGTAGTCCCAGTCGCGACCGATGACGCCGACAGCATACGAGATGAACAGGTAGATGCACATGGCACCCGCGAAAGCAGCGTACCAGTAGAACACGGGCGAGGAGAGGGTGAACAGCCACATACCGGCGCCGAGTGCCAGGAAGGAGATGACACCAAAGATGTAGAGCAGGATGCGGTTCGTGTGGACGTACATCACCTTCTCCCTGTCGTCGGGACACACGGGCAAAACAAGCTCTGGAGGTTCGATTGGGCAGTAGGTCCTCCGGAAGGCATGGTACATCCGCTTGTGGAGCGGAAGACCGGACGACTTGCCCAATGCCGAGGTGTGCCTCTCCCGCAATTTCTCGGTGTCGGCATCGACGATCTTGCTGTGGCGGCGGGCGTGCAAATGATTGGCATGCTCGCTGTCGATTTCAGAAGGACTCGTGTAGTCGACCTTTTCGTTGGTGATCTCGTTCGCTAGAGGAGATCGTTCCTAGGAATGGATGTTAGCAAAGGACGCTCTCCGAGGGTCCGTGTCCCCCTCGGGTGAGCCGGCGTAGAGACTCACAATGTCCCCACGGCTGAGGCGGTGGTGGGGAGGGACGGTCGGGGCTGGTCCCCGAATTCCATGGGCAGCATTGTCTTGGTTGTCTGGGATGACATTCTGGAATGAAGTTAGCGATCGGATACGCGGAAATAAACACGATAAAAAACCCCACCCCCTTCTCGAACTGCAGGATTCAGGCATTTAGGGCTAGTCAGAGAAGCTACTCACAACTGTGAAGGTGGAATTGCTGGCCAGAGAGGCGGCAGCGCTGCCCTCGTCCGTGTCGAATGGGTTCCCTCCAAATGGATTTGCATAATGACCCGATTCGGAACTTGGCCCTCGGCCATTTGGTGAAATTGGCCTCGTCATTTTGGGCGTCAGGGTTATTCGTCCAGTCTCGGAGAACGATTGTGCCTGGGAAAACTAGAAGCCACGGATCGAGACGGAGGTCAAGACCGAGGAGCTTTCCTGGAAACGTTCCAGTAACCCTATGGCTCGGGGAAAGAGGTAGTCGAGCTAGCGAGCGTGTGGCGTCGAGACGATTCTAAACGGGTGTTCCGAGCAATGGGAAGTGTGTGGAGAGGCTTGACTTTGCTGGCGGTATTGGCGTCGTTTCCCTGTGCTCGTACTCTGTATGTTCGGGAGTTGGGCACTTTCTGGTTCGGGCAGGTTGGATGCCTGCGAGGTTGGTATGGCTGCTTCCCTTTCCGAGCGGCGAAGATATCTTAAGAGTAGAGAGATCCTGAAGGCCAATTCGGATACCAGGCACAGGCAACAAACAAAAAACGAGTGACAGTTTGAGGCCTATCCAAGCACCAAGTAAGGTAACAACGACGCTTGGAAGTAAGGAAGTGAGGCGTGGGCAGATATAGGTACAAGCGAATGTGGTCGGCAGCAAGGGAGGCTAATTACCAGCCTTGAGCAAGCGAGAGACAACGGTGGAAAGAATAAGGTAGTCAACGAGTGACGAAAGCGAAGGTAAGTGACGGGGAAAGAAGACGGATAGAGCGACAGGAGTGCCCAGAGGCCAGCCACCCAGATATGGCTTTGGGAGGAAGGGGGGTGGGGAGAAGAGGAGGTGAAGAGAAAAAGGAAGCGAAAAGGGAGAGAAGAGAGAGATTTAGGAGAAAGAGTTGAACTTCCTGCAGTGCGGGTGGGTATGCCAACGGGAGAAGGTATACGGTACATCTTAGATCGGGGTCCTTGCTGGTTTGCAAGTGTTGAGTCAGGTATCTTTAACAGCAGAACGGGATGCGGGCCCTGGTTCGGACACGACAAGAGCAGGCAGCGGCACACCCCAAATCCCCGTGTACCTTATTTGCGTCCGTCCTCTTCCTTAAGGCAGGCACGAAGTACTTCGTACAACGTATGTACACACCTCAGGCTTGGCCGGCACTCACCATCCGCGCAGTGGGTTTCAAACAAGGCCAGAGACCTGTGGCCTGCAGCACGAGTTCAGTTTTATTTATTATTTGTGTGGCTTCGGACGGAGTGTTGTGAAGTCTTTCGTTGCCAAATGGCGCTGCTTTCCATCTTGTCGGTCCCCTTTACAGCATACCTATATTGCTGAGGCGTCGTTGCTTGACATTCTCAGAGCTCCCCCTATCGTAATAGTATTCCTTCGCGCCCGCGATAATACCACAATCACCGAAGCAACTGCTTGCGATTTGCTAGCCTACCCGGCATGGGGCCACTTAAAATCCATGGCCCATCCGTCGATGAAACCAAGACATCCGGATTCTGGGAAGTGGGACGCAGCCAGCTTTTCAAAGCTACACGTTAACGACATTGTGAGATCAGCGGGAACCATGTATTGTATTCAGATGACGAGAGGTGGTCTAAAATACTCCGTATAGCCGCCCTCGGAACCAAATGCCCTTACCCGTCGAGAATTCATTCCTTGGGAACGCATCAGGGCAGGCAGCTCGGAATAGGTGCCGAGGCTATCACGAACCCGACGGGTTGCCGGTAATAAGGCCGCATGAGAGAAAAGCGTGGTCGGGCACCACTTATGGGACAGTCAGTACCTGGTCTCAAAAATCCCGAATTCGATGGAAACCCCATTCATTTGCTTGGCCGGCAGAGTTGGATACAACATGTTCGAACTCTTGGACCCTTGTCACAAAGCAAAGATAGCGTCATCGTCTCCTATTCGGACGAGCCCGCGCTTCCTTGGCCTGATCATAGACATGGATGTATAGATCGGCTTGTGCAGAACTAATCTGTGCCTGCCTACCTTACCAATCTGGCAAAATTACAAAGTATGAACCTGCCGTGGAATGTGGCGGTGTCAGAGACTCCGACTGCCGACCAAGTCGACCGCCGTGACACTACAATGTACACATGCGGTGTGCCTATTACCCAGAGAACCGACACCTTATCCGTATATTCGTACGAAGCACGAAAACTCGATCGAGGGTGGTTCCTTTTGTGACGACCTTTTTCACGAAGCCAAGCACTTCAAACGGAACGGGAACGCAGGTTTTGTGTGCGAGTGTGGGTGCGCAATGCAACGATGGGTAATACCAAGGTGCCTAGGTTGTTGTTGTTGTCCGAGCCACAGTGCCCCCCAACAGACCCCCTTGGCTAGCTCTTACCTTATTGATTTGTGACCCTGGTTGGCACCACGATGATTGCATCACCATGGTAAAGCCACAGAACACAGAAGCCTCTCGTTACATCCACGCAACTGTGATCTCCCCGCTAAACCGCATTGAATTGTGGTTTCCCGTAGCCACCACGAGGAAGGAATACTTAATGAAAGAGCACAGCCATGATTATCACAGCATAAGTACTAGCACTTTCAAAATATTCTCTCTCGGATTCTCAATCACCTCAAGGAATACGAGGATCACGATGAAAAGGGGATAAATACGATCAGAAGGGGTGTGTGTCAGATACAGCGTAACTGGAGCCGTCAAAATAGGGTCAAAATTGAGGGGTTGAAATCTTAAGATAATTGTGAGCCGTTTTTATCCCCTGCAGGACCGTCAGGGAACTGCTGCCACCGTTGTATCTACACGTAGTCTCAGGAAACAGAACCAACAGGAACTAACAAGTCAAGTTCAGCGGGAGATGAGCGTCATTCTGCTTGATAGCCGTCTCAGCTGCTTGCGCCAGAGCCGTTGATTAGCGCTGACAGACACATCCAATTAATTCCTATCCTCCAATGGTGCCAGCCAGACATGCTTCCACAGCCGATACATACACCACGCCTCACCGGTGAATTTTCCCAGTCCGTGTGGTCCACGATAAGAAGACCGGCCCATTTCGGCTGTTTCTGGCCATGTAATAACTGAACTGTAACCTCGTTATTCTTCCTCTTTTTTTTCATTTCTTTTCCTCCCCGCAGAGGCCATGCTTATCAGGAACAGGAGGGCGTAGGGCATGAACTTGAACGGGGCCACCCGCTATAAATTTAGCCCGTAAGCTGCTCGCATTCTTCTATATGTTCCGAGTCGAGACAAATGGGGAACCAAAGAAAGAGTGTGAAAATTAATTCGACTAGGATGAATAATAATAATTCGAAGAAAAGTAAGAAAAAAAGAATGAGAGAAAACTCTGAAGAGAAGGGCCCGCTTCACGATCTAATCCTGTAATCATCTTCCTTGCGTATCGTACTGCCAAGCCGCGATACGAAGGACAATCCGCCCGGCTATTCCCAGGCCCCATCCCATGTAGGCTCCTATTTTGAGCCCACCAGCCAAAGGTGGGCTTGCCAGGTTCGAATATGTACTAGATTCTGGTACTAGGCTCCTTCGAACCCTTTTTTTCGTTTTTTTTTTTTTTTTTCCCACGATAGGTGAGATGAATACGAAGTGGTATTGAGTAAGGTAGCCTCGAAGATGGTTAGGTAAAACGTACACTCTGGACCAGACCGTCAGCGAACACCATCAGCACAGCCGCCGGTTCAGCGGTCGCTAGGTCTCGGTAACGGTCTGAAAACCGTGCCACAAGGCCTGAAGAAATTACGAGGATAGACACAGGCACAGCCCCCCTGAACTCGTATGTACTCAGTACTTCGTAATCACTTCGCACTACGTACTTCATAGACCCCTGGCACATTTTTCTGTGTGCACAAATAGCGACGCCGCACTATAATAATTGACTTTTTGTGTTCGATTTTCTGGCCGGTATTCGACGTCACCAATACGGAGGACTCCCGCAACCTTTACCAGGAAAAGACACATGCCCTGGCGAAAAAGAGTTATAATACGGAGTGCCCTCAGAGGTTTATAAAAGAAATACGCCTTCAGACTTTGCAGCGAATAGTTGGCAGAGATGTCCCTCCGTCGACACATTAATACAGGGGAAGAACAGGGGAAGAAGAGGCGAGATGAAGATGGTAGACACCATACAACAGAACATCTCTGAATTTAACATTAAGCTACGCTCATCGTGGACTCGGCCCCTGTCGATACTCGATCAACATCCCGAGGTTGATCAAGGGCTGATCAATCAATGGATTGGTGTTCCTTGAGTAACCTAAATCAAGTTTGACGGTCCAAATAGCTGTGCCGATCACAAAACCTTACTTGTATGTAACCTTGTCGAAGGGAGTTTAGATCGTCAGGTGGTGAGGAACATACATATCACATGTAACCCGGATATATTTAGTATGATCGGGATGCTAATATCGCGGAATCATAATGATTCGTATAATCAATCAGAAATAGTCATTGATATCTCTTGAGTATTAATGGGGCCTCCTCGAGCAGCTTCAATCAAGCCCGACCGTCGCCCTCGAGACAAGCCATGTATGTGGACGCGTCTTGGGCAAGATAAATACACATGTATGAGTGCAAGAACAAAAAAAAATATCATAAAATGCCCTGATACGAAACACGCCAATGGTCTATCGAAATGGACCAAGTACTTCCGACAACAAAACAATAATGCGTGTAAAACAGCACCCGCCCAACTCCCATGTCTTTTGCGTCATCGCTGCCGGTAACACTTCCCCGTCGACAATGCCCCGCCTACAGCCCAATCATCGCGCCCGCCAACAGGGCCACAGGGGCTACAAAGCCAAGGAATGGAACGCCCAGCGCCATGGCGGCATCATCCTCGTCATCGCCGCCGCTGCCGCCGCTGCCGCCGTCAGAGCCCGAGTCGGCAGCGTCCTCGTCGACCTCGAGGTCGAGCGCGAAGTTGGCGACGGAGAAAGTGACGTTCTCCCTGGAGAACCAGGTCTCGGAGCCAAACTCAACCAGGCCGAGATACGGGTTCTCGGGCCATTCGGCGGCGTCCTCGTCGTCGGACTCGGGGGGCGGGTTGTTGAGGATGTATTCGAAGAGCGGGCTCACGTCCTCGTCGAACTGGGTCACGTCGCCGCCGTCGGCGAGGATCCAGGTGAAGACGTGGCGGGAGCGGAAGTTCAGCTGGTAGTGAAGTTGGCTGGTAGCATTCTGTTGTTAGAAAGACTTCAAAAAGGATTGTAGCCACCGAAGCATCCTCATTCCAACCAATGCAGTCGTCCGAACAGAGGTGCAGCAGCCCAAGATAGAAACGTACAAAGTGTGGTCGCCGAGTGTAATTCTCGTCACGACACCGTCGCCCTCAAGAGGACGGGCATGGCCCACGCGGCCCAGCCAAATCATGACCTCGATGGCGGAGTCGACGGGGTTATACGTCCTGGTGCGGTTGCCATCGAGGAAGAAATCCCAGGCGGCGTTTGCGGTGACGCCAGCCTCGTCGAGCTCCTCCTTGTTCTCGGCCCAGGTGCTGTTGCTGAAGTCGCGCGGCGGGGAGCGGGGGCTTCCGAGCGTCATGATCCAGTCGGACTTGATGCGCATGGACTGAATGGTGCTGAGACGCGTCGGCAGGTCGTCGTCGTTGAGGCGCACGTAGGGGTAGGAGTGCACATCGGCAATGTTCTCGGGCCACATCCACGTCACGTCAAACGCAGGTGTGCTGTTGTCGACCGACATGCAAACGTAACCATCGTCTGGGCTGTTATCGTTCCAGGCGTTGGGAAGGTCTGTAGCATGACGGTCAGTCGGCAGGCCCGACATGGTTAAGCCCCATCTCGGATGCTTCAAAATCGAAATCAAGCTTCCTCGTGAGATAATTATCGGCAATACTCACAGACATGGGGATCCGAAAACTCGCCGAAGCGATCCTCGCCGCAAATGGTCGCGTCGTAGCTCTGCGCTGAAGCCAGACTCAGCAGCAGCGAAAAGCTGCTGCTCAGAACGAAGGCGCTCTTCATATTTCTGTCTTTGTGCCGATCTATTGTTTTCAGAAAGCTTGTGGTCGGGTTCTATGATGCAGAGCTGTGGTGGCGCGAAGAAGAAGAAGAAAATCAAAGGCACTTTGGCGACAGATTACGACGGCGACGTAGTCGAACGGTGTGATGCGGAAAAATAAAGGGTCCAACGAAGGGAACGAGTGAAACGGACCACCTGTTTAGCAAAAACCAGGGAAGAGAGAGGTGGAAAGAGGGACAAAAAGTCTGATTTCTTCTGTAGGTAGCCTTCGTAATCGAGCGACAGAAGAGAAAGCACGGGTCGTCAGGGGTGAAGTGAAAGAGCGAATGACGGACGACCAGTTGCGATGATGGTCACAGTGTTGGAAAGAAATCAAGTGGATTTGCCGAATTCTTATTTCGGCGGGCAGTGAGCAGCACCGTTATGCATAACTTTAAGGAGTTCTGTGGCACGGTAACGTGGTCCGTGCCGTCGAGTCAACACCTTAGCCAGCCAATGATCAGCGTCTGGGAAGGGTTACTTTAGTGTACATAGGTACTTTGTACTATATAAGGTAATTACACCATACACGTGTACACGCGTACACTACCTTACCTACTCCGTTTGATTGCCATAGCTGTAATGAAGTACTTACCTCAAGGTAAGGTATGTTAGGCATCGACGGGACGAGAGCGACAGACTAATTACAGGACGACGACTTTTAAGTAATACACGAAAACCTGAAGAAATCGAGGATCGTGACGGTCGTAGGTCGGAATCCTCCAACAAGTCGAGCATCTTGTTGTCGGTCTGGATCCCAGGATGTCGACAAGACCCCCAGAGGTCTCATTGATTGCATTATTTCCTAATAAATAACTGGACACTTCCGATACGGCGAGGTGCGGTACATCCCATGTGACGGCTGCGAATCCCTGCCCTGGGACACGCCATAATTAGGTGTACTGACTGCGGAGGACGGAGTAAGTATTCTGAGTACACCAGGTCGTAACCTGCGAGATGGCGAGCGCGGGACATTTGAATCCCAACAGATGGATCAACCAACTGATCGACTGCCTCTGCTGCCTCGGCCAAGGAGGTGCGAGGTATCAGTGGAGGGAACACGCCAGCTTGAGACAATCGGTGCTCCAGGAGGACGCGTCGACATGATCGCATCAGGAGTCCGGGGATACCGTATGAGTGAATCTCTAATTACTAATCGGCGGATACATTCGTCGACTATTTGACTCTTATTGATGAATATTTCCAGAACAATCGTGATGGTATGTGGAATGATGAATTCATATCGCACTCTGCCATCTACCTACACGTGTACTATGTGAAGATATGGTTGCACCATCCGTACTTCGTACTCGGTCTGGTGGTGTTCTCATGGTAAGAATTCACATCACATTGAGTACCTAGGTAATAATAAAAGGTGTGTGAAACTTCCATTGTAAATTTCCAGGGATTTTCGTCACCAATCTTTGCCAAGGCCGAGTCGTCGTAAGCTCGCAAGCTCGCCCAAGCTACGTAAGCAGCAATGAAGCCACACGTCGCTGGATTTGTGTGCTACTTGAGCCAACTATTGTCAAAACGGCTCCGACAGACCGTCCACCGCTTATACATTCCCAACTATTTAAGTTATTTTAGTGGAAGTTCTCTCGACGGGACAGCGATTTATCCATTGTTCCCCTTTCTCCTATCACTTGCTGCCAGGCAAAGGCGGACGTCTTTAATTCTTCTGAACTACTTGGACCGTCCGCATACGGGGCATTTTTCGTACTTTGTACTTTCTCCCCTTCGTTCGCTGCCACGTTTCCAGCCCCTTGGCTACCTACCCAAGCAGACGTCGCGCATTATAATTAATACGAGAAGCAAAAAATCGATCTCGGCTCACATCACCACGACCTTGCCACTGAACGAAACCGAGAGAGTGCACCGGACCGATTTCGGCACCTCGGGGTTGCTTCCTATGGCCATTGGCAAACGCCAGACACGATCTCTGCACAGCCACTGGCAAGGGAGACGATGGTGTGAGATCCGAAACTTGTTGTTTTCCTCAGACCATGGCTTGGAGAAGCAGGTTCCCGTTATTTTGCATGCGCCCCTCTCTCCCTTTGCTGCGACGCTGCGACGGTTATGATGTCACAGAGGTCACCATTCCCGTGGGGGGGTTACCTTGCATGGATAGTTGTGGTGGCGGAATGTGGGAGTACAGCATTTGCTCCCCGCGACTTCCAATAACCTGACATGGAACCTTCTCTCGCATTGGCAATTGCAACTTGATACCGGATACAGGAGGTAAGGCGGATGTCTATTAATGGTATGTGACTCCCGTCCACGAAACACGGACCAGCCCAGGCGATTCGCAAGCTCGATGGCGATCGCTGCCCAAAGTAGCGAGCGAGCGAGTCGTCCTGGTTCGGCAAGGCGGGTGTCTAACGTACACTACACGTGTACACGTACGAGCCATGGTATCAAGTACGGAGTAGGTATCGGCAAGGAAACATAGCGAAGTTCGTTCTAGCGGCAATGGTAGTGGCGTGTGAGTGTGGAGAGACTTGAGATGATTTGACACGGGAAAGTCTCTCAAAATAGACGCGTTCTCTACATGTGCGCAGTCAATCCGGTCGGCCAGGAAAAGAGCGGTGATGTGGAATGGTCTGATGGGAGGGTAGCCAGGTAGTCTGGGAAATTTCAAACCCTGAAGAATGGGGATAGGATAGACACTGGTTGAAATAGGGAATAGTAATGGATGAGGTAAGAGATACTGTGTCGATACCTAAGCCAGGAATGCAGTGGCATGGTTCAATATATAAAAGGGACCCCAAACATATGTAGTGTTGATCACGGATGGCTTATCATTACTCACGAAGCGTAAATGAAATTGGTTCATGGTACAGGGAAATCAATACGATTATCGAACGGAATAGTATGGTTGCGGATTATTACGCCCACACAGACTACCGGTACGCATGATAATCCAGAGAAACGGGGAAATCGACAAGAATGTACCTAACCCGTACCCAATATGAACTAATTACGTAAGGTACGCAGTCAGTGACGATGGCCCAGGGTTCTTTCATTCCCCTTTCCCACAAGGCAGAAGCAGGGGAATTAAGTTCAAGGGGGACGGGGAAAAACTCTCAAGGCTCTTATCTGCCAGGCGCCCAGGGAAAAAGTACATGTACACTGTGGCAAGCCCAGAGGTTGGACCTTTGACTTTTTCCGGACCAGTGATGGGTTGGTTACGGAGTACCGACACTAGCATACCAGTCCATGTACCGTACCTTATTATGGTCAGATCGCAAGCGGCGAGAGAATCGACCCCCACCACCGTATTAATCCGTCTTCTTGTCTGCGTTTCTCAGAACTGACTCCTCTCCACACACGTCGTAGTATTGGTTTAAAAAATCCGAATTAACTTACAGGTAACGCCATGGAGTATCCTTTCTTGCTCGACTGGAGATTTCAATTCGTCACTTGCTGCAAACGCCAGGTTCTTCCATTCCGTGTAGGTTTCTCGAGGCCACAGCAATGTGCCTCCACGACGCTTTAGGGGACCCTGGCCACTGATTGAGAGGTTGAAGTCATTCCGGAAGCAGGATACGATGCTAGAAGTACCTGCACACCTAAGGTACATTTAGCCTACCTAAGGGAGTACACGTACCTACCTACCTACTGATATCAGGGGTACCTCGTAACCTAAAGTACCTTTCGTGGACGTTAGCCCATGGGCGATAACTAATAATTACCCACCTGTACTTCGTATATTTCTAGGTCTGGCTATTGTGCTGTCAATCCTCGCACGGCGGACCCGTCAGTTTTCTCAGGCACCACCCCAGTCTGGAATTCCCCCTTTCTTTTTTTCTCGCCTTTTTTTTTCTCCTATTTCTTAGCCACTTTTTCCCGCCCCTTTCCTTTTTCAATCTTCGACTCGACTCGTTCTCGATTCGTATCGTATTCGTCGTCCGTGCCTTTAACGCGTCGTTCGCCGAATTTCCCACGTCTTCTGCCGAGCTTAATCCTTTCGCATCTCTCTCTGGAGACAACCACGTCTCCTTCCGCTCGCTTCTTTCCCTCGTTTCTCCTCGCTCGCGGCTAAATGGCTTCCCCCGTTAATCGCACAGTTATCATCTCGGGCGACTCTGCGTCGACCATCGAAACAGTCACCGCCCGTTCTGAGCTCGGTTCCACAGCAGCCGGCACTCCTGACACCTCCCCTCCAACATCGCGCTCCCGGAGCCCTGACGAACCCAAGGCTTCGACCTCGACCGACGCAAGCACTGTTCCTTTGGAACCAATGGAGGTCAAGAACATCTGCTTCGTCGGCGCCGGCTTTGTCGGTATGTATATGTCTGCAATGGTCTCTGTGGCCGTCCCGTCTACCTAGCTGCATGGACCGTGGCAGTCCTGCTCCCTGCCCGGCAGTATGCAGTGTAATGCCGGGACATCTGCCAACCCGCCACCTGTTCACCTCCAACTGCTAACATTGTTGCACCCCAGGTGGCCCTACCGCTGCTCTCATTGCCTTCCACAACCCCCATATCCAGGTCACCGTCGTCGACCTCAACGCCGAGCGCGTGGCGGCTTGGAATTCTCCTCACCTTCCCATTCACGAGACTGGACTGCCGAAGATCGTGAGGATTGCCCGGGATGGCACTAATGAAACGACTGCCTTCCTCCCGACTATTAACAAGACTATTAAGGTTGCCCCCCGCACCCCTAACCTGACTTTCTCTACCGATCTGGAGAACGGCATTGGTGCCGCTGATATCGTCCTCATCTGCGTCAACACCCCGACAAAGACCTACGGTATCGGTGCCGGCATGACCGCCGACCTCAGTGCCGTTGAGGGTGCCTCGGAGACCGTGGCCAAGTACGCAAAGAATGGCGCCGTCGTTGTTGAGAAGAGCACTGTCCCCACGGGCACCGCTCGCATGATTCGCGAGATTGTAAGTCGACACCATGGGCCCACGGTCTGATCGCGAAGCTGGATCGTATTCAAATCAATGGGTGAACCAAGCCGTGCTAACGTTGTACCTTTTTGCTACAGCTTGCCCAATACCGACCGCGCTGCGAGTTCGAGGTCGTCTCCAACCCGGAGTTCCTTGCTGAGGGTACAGCTGTCCGTGATCTCATGAATCCGGATCGTATCCTGATCGGCAGCAACACCACCCCCGCCGGTCTCCGTGCCGCCGCCGCCCTGAAGGGTGTCTACGCCGGTTGGGTGCCCGAGTCGAAGATCCTGACCGTGAACACATGGTCGAGCGAGCTGACGAAGCTCGTCGCCAACGCCATGCTTGCCCAGCGTATCTCCAGCATCAACAGTATCTCGGCGATGTGCGAGGAGCTGGGTGCCGACGTTCAGGAGATCAGCAGGGGAATCGGCGCCGACTCGCGTCTCGGCAAGAAGTTCCTGCACGCCGGCGTCGGCTTCGGCGGCTCCTGCTTCGAGAAGGACATTCTCAACCTCAGCTACATGGCCCGGGTCCTCCACCTGGACACCGTGGCGGACTACTGGATGGGCGTCCTGGACATCAACAAGTACCAGCGCCAGCGCTTTGCCGAGAAGGTGCACCGCGCCCTGAACGGCAACCTGCGGGGCAAGAAGGTGGCCATTTTCGGCTTCGCCTTCAAGGAGGGCACCAACGACACGCGCAACTCCATCGCTGTCCACATCATCCGGCAGCTCGCCAACGAGAGGCCGCGCGAGATCGCCATCTTCGACCCGGGCTGCTCGCCCGAGGAGATCCTGTCGGAGGTGGGGCAGCACATCCAGGACGAGCCGACGTTGGCCCAGGTCAAGGTGCGCACCAACTGGCGGGAGACCACGGACGGCGCTTCGGCCATCTGCATCCTGACGCCGTGGTACCACTTCCACTACCCCAAGCAGGCGCAGGCCACGGCCCGCCGCACCAGCCTGTGGAACGGCAGCAAGGAGCAGCAGCTCGCCGATGCGAACACCGGCTTTCTCGGCCCACACCCGACTGAGATGGACCTGATCGAGCTCGAGAATTGCGTCACCCGGGGCAAGAACAAGGTGCCCCTGGACCCCCTCAAGCGCCTCAAGCCCGAGGCGTGCCCCGAGAACTGCAAGGGCTGCAACACATCCTCCACCAACGCCGAGGGTGGCGGCGATCCGGTCGACTGGGAGGAGGTCTCGGCCATGATGAAGCTTCCCAAGCTCGTTCTCGATGGCCGTAACGTGGTCAGCGCGCCCGAGCTCGAGAAGCTGGGATTCAAGGTTCAGGGTATCGGTAAGGGTGTCGGCATGTAAACCCGTCCATCTTTATCGAAAGAAGAAAGGAAAACAAAACAAAAAAAAAAAAAAGACCAAAACAAAAAGCGCCGTCACGCGCACACAACACACATACGCATGGGAACAGGTTCTCGTACATTTTTGTACGACCCTGTAGGGATGGGGAGGCAATGGCATGAGAGCGACACAAAAGGCGCTTTTGAAATTCCCTCTTTTTTTACTCTTCTTTTTTTTTTCCCGAGACACAACTATGCGTTTTATATTCTTCTGCAACGAGGACAGGAACCACGGACCTGAGACGGCCCTGTGTGCGGAATTTTAACCTGGAGGGGAGTCATTTTCCGGACCACTTTACTTCAACTAGAGGCGGACGACCTGGGATGAAGGGGCGCCGAGGCGAGAGGGCTGGATAAGATTGACGGGATATGGACAGGACGAGATACCAAGATGGATTGGCTTGACCCGGGACGCGACAAGAGTCGGGGTTCTTCTCGAAGGGGGGACGGGGGAGGCAGAGATCTGATCAAGGCTCTTCCTCGATTTGCTGGGCTGCCAGCGTCCCTCGCCATTCTTTACTTCTTTTCTTTTACTTTGTTCGTTTCCCAAGTTGTTTCGTGGTTACGCCTTGGAATCAGAGGCACAGGGGATGCAGTTATAGGCTATGCTTGGTGTGTATACGCAATTTAATCGCTTTTTCAGTAAATCGTCTCTCCAGTCTCTGCGTCGGTGAACTCTGGTCGGTCTCCCTGCTGTGTTCATGTTTGTTTGAAAGGCATGACCTCTTCGTCCGTATTGAACTCTCCGCACGGCATCCACCGGAGACGACTCGACGTATGAGAGCCTCAATCATGATCTGATTTTTTGCAACTACGTAGTTGAAGTGGCCATTTATGGGGAGGATGAGGAAGTCCAATAACACAACACGTCTCTGGATCATTCTACATGTTTGTAACTGCTGGATTCTTTTCATCTTGTTGTTATATTTCTCTTCTATAGGGCATCATTGTGTAGAAAACGGTGACTACCCGCAGTAATTCGGACTTAGTAGTAGATATCAAGTCTAAATAAACTACTAATGAGTATAATAGGAACCAAGATATGTAGGCCGGAGAACTGGTCATTTTTGGCGGTTTTGTCTGCTCCAAACGAACACACCGCTGAAGTTATATGTGGTTCAAAGTTGATAAACAAGACAGGGAAATTTTACTGTCTATATATATGTATTTATACGCATAGAGAAAAAGCAGCTAGCGAGACAACATGATCAGCCCATGTCGATGGGTCCTTCAAGTAAAGGAGCCCGTCCCGCAGGGGGGAGGAATATCATGGTCCACAGCAAACTCAACGTGAGACTATGCGGCCGAAGACGGTGCCAGTTGCCTTGTTTTTCATGCTCGATAATCGCAAGCTTCGTGTCTGGTATGAAAGTAGAACTATCGGCGAAAACCGAATTTTACATGCTGGTTGTTGGGAATGTTGTATCTCCATCTCTAATCCAAGAGAGCCAAGGGACTCGTGGTTCGTAGTGAGTGCCCGAGAGGTCTGCGAAGACATGGAGATGGCGACAAGGTTGCCCCCTACACTGCTACCTATCAGTTACTACATGTACCTTATACGGGTGTGCTCTTCAACCTGTGCAGCTGAACGCTCATTGTGATATTCTCTTCTATTCGTCAAGTCACATCCGTATTCCTTTTTTCTTCTACAAAGTAAAAATACACGGTCGATCTTCGAGGTTGCCCAAACCCGAGAACCTCCTCTCGCGAGAACTTCATCGGACGGGAGAGTAAATCGTATGCTATGCTCATGTCACCTCACAAATTCCTTCAGGTCCTTGGAATCCTCAAATGTAACCTTCCCGTCCCTGTTCACAGTCACCACATGGATAGCCGACGGCGCTTGTTCCGAAGTGGCAGGCTTCTCAGGCTCCAGGGGCTTCTCGGCCAGTTCAACCGCCTTGGGCACCACGCCCGCCTGCGCGTCGGCAATCTCGTTCACCTCGCGATTGGACAGGACGTCGGCGACACGGACGCCGCGGCTGGACATGAAGAGGGTCATGGGGCCTCGGAACTGGAGGAACAGGCGATCCCCCCAGATGGTGCGGCGGAGGGCGGTCCGCAGGCGGAAGAGCAGCCGCGAGACGGTCCGGTAGGTGTCGGTGTCGCGCATGGCGTTGAGGAACTTGGTCTCGGGGAGCAGCGAGGCGATGTTGGGGATCTGGAAGCGGAGGAGGGACGACGACTTGAAGCGGAACGGGAGCGGCGGGTTGCGGGAGACGGAGTAGGCCACGACGTGGGACGGGTGGGCGACGAACTCCTCGCCGTCGCTGAGCGTCAGTTCGTAGATTTGGCCTGGCGATGAGAGGGCGGCGAGGCCGCGGCCCGTCAGGAGGGTGTTGCCCCAGTGCGCGAGGGATAGGCCCCTGTTGATGCGAGGGGTCGGGGTGAGGGTGTGGCCGGTCCAGGCGAGCAGGGCGTTGCGCTGGGCTACCATGTAGTCGGTGGTGCCGTCGAGGTGGAGGATCGAGAAGGTGGTGGTGGGAGACTTGGTGGCGATGAGGGCGGTCACTGGAGTTGAGGAGGATATTCTCTGGTACAGGAAGGGGACGCCTAGGAAGGCTCGAGTGAACGGGGAGAGAATTGATAGGGTGGATCGGGCCTGGCATCGTGGCAAGTTAGTCTTATAGTCCATGATGCGGGAGGATAAGAAGTTGCAGGGAAATAGGGATATGGAGAGTCAGTTCACTCACATTCTCAGCCTTGCCTGTGACAGCAACTAGTGTTCCTCGTCGGGTATAGAGCTGCTGGGATGGCGACAGCGTAACGGAGAGGAGGGATTGGGGGGATCCGAGGACTTCGAAACGTGCATCTACCGTAGGTGTTAGCAACAGGACTTGGATGGCTTCATGGTTGCAGACAAGAAGAGCTCGTTCGATTTCTGCAAAGTCTTGTGAACATACCGGCGACATCCCGAGTCGATGCCGGCGACCCGATTCCAAAGGCGTCCCCGCCGACTTGAGGGGCTGGGGTCGTCGGAACAGCGGTGATTTGAATGGCCCTGCATTGTCGACAGACGTAGGATGGATGTGAGGAGGCCTGTAGTCCCCTAGCCACCCGGGTCAGGGGTAATTGGCCTCTCATGGTGACGATGGGGAGCTATGAGGCGGCTCTTCTCTGGAAGGTCCTCTCTTGCAGGTCTTCTCTGGGGAGATTTTGTTCGGACAATTGAGAGAGGTGGATGACGAAAGACAGAGGCACATATGCACGTGACATTCTTAGTCAGAGTCAAAATTATGTAAGCTGGATACTTGCTAAGTGTAAGTGTTGCTAGGGAAACATTCCGCGTTTAGTTCGTCGCGCTTCTCCTTCTTCAGCTTGTTGACTTTTGGTCCAAGCTTCTTCTTCTCAGCTCTTTGAGCCGCACTGCACACACACACACACAGCAACACCGGCACTTCACATCGAATCCTCCCATCATCACCACCCTTGCTGCTTCATTTGAAGGGCTTCTCTTCTATTGTCCCACGCATTGTCCTATTTTTTGTGGAACCAATTGGTATGCCGGTCTGCTATGTCTGTCCGTGTGGTCGCAAGAATCCGCCCTCTCCTTCCCAAGGAGCTGGAAAGAGATGCCATTGTCACGGCTGCCAGCACCGATGATGGGAAGCCGCCGACATTGGTGAAGATTCCAAACCCAAAGAATGAATCAGAAGAGTTTTCCTTCGCGTTCAACAGCGTCTACGATCATTCCACAACACAGGAACAGCTCTTCACGGCAGAGGGTAGGACAGACAAAGCAAATCAATGGCATAACTATGGTGATGGTTCTGGCTAACCATCTTCCCTATCGATAGTTGCTCCTCATGTCAAAGCTCTCTTTCAGGGAATTGATGTCACCATATTTGCATACGGTGTCACCGGCACCGGCAAGACGCATACCATGAGGGGTGGCCTGAAGCTCGCCGATCGAGGTGTCATCCCCCGATTGCTGAGCAGCATCTATCGGCGAGCGAAGAAGATCATGAAGGACTCCGAGGGTCAGACGACGGTTGACGTCTCCATATCATATTACGAGATTTACAATGACAAGGTCTTTGACCTGCTCGAGCCTCTCGAGAAGCGCCTCCCCGCCGGTCTCCCACTTCGAGAGAAGGATGGGAAGACTATGGTGGTTGGCTTGTCGGAGCGGTCATGCGACAACCTGAAGGACTTGGAAGGGCTCTACCTCCATGCCGAGAAGAATCGGGCTACGGCAGCCACCAAGCTGAATGCCCACAGCAGCAGGAGTCACAGCGTGCTGCAGATCAAAGTCACCCAGACGACGGGCGATCAGGTGAAGACGTCAACCGCGTCTGCCATCGACCTGGCCGGGTCGGAGGACAACAGGAGGACAGACAACGGCAAGGAGCGGTTGGTCGAGTCGGCGGCCATCAACAAGAGCCTCTTCGTCCTATCCCAATGCATCGACGCCATCTCCCGCGGAGACAAGCGCATCCCCTACAGAGAGTCGAAGATGACCCGGATCCTGAGTCTCGGCCAGAACAACGGCATCACCATTATGATCCTGAACCTGGCGTCGCTCCGGAGCTATCACCTCGACACGCTGAGCAGCCTGAACGTGAGCTCTCGCGCCAAGCGAATCGAGGTGCGGGAGATCGAGAACGAGGTCGTATTCAAGCAGGTCCCTCGCACGGCCTCCAACAGCGGCGGGTTGAGCATGGCGCGCCAGCCCTTGCGGCCTCTGTCGAATGCCCTCAATGCTCATAACGTCCACAGCGGCGTCGCGGCTTCCAAGGCGACTGCGACGAGCGATCCGACGAAACCGGCCAAGGCATTTAGTGTGTATGCCGACCGAGCATCGAAGCCTGCCGCTCCGGCCCCGAGATCGGCCCCCAATACCTCTCAGCTGCGCAAGCGGCCGTCGGATTCCGGGCAAGCCGCTTCTGCTGCCCTCCGGGTCTCCAACAAGTCGGGATTGAGTCGTCCCGGGCAAACAACGCAATCCAAGTTGTCCATCTCGGCCGAACAGCTCGAGTCCATGGTCGAGAAGAAGGTCAACGAGATCTTGGCCATGCGGTCGAATCAACAAGTCGCCCAGGCTGCTCCAGCGCCCGCATCCGCCCATCCCGACATCAACGACGCAGTCCAGAAGCGCCTGGAAGCTCTGGAGCGACGGATTGAGCAGGACGAGCGCAGGGACGACACGCGGTCCGACGGCCTCCGGTTTCTCCTGTCGGCGCGTCAAGCCAAGGAACGCGGCGACGATGCGGGCGCTTTGGAGATGTACGAGCTCGCCCTGCCTTACTTCCCGGGCCAGGCGAAGCTGCTGAGCAAGATCGAGAAGCTGCGAGTCCGTCTGGGTCTCCCGACCGCCGTGGCTGCTGCTACTACGACCGAGCCCGAAAAGGCCGGGAGAAAACGGCAGCGCAGGGTCCCGGCCGCCGACGAGGGGGAGTATGACGAGGCGGAAGCCGACGCCGAAGGGGACGAGAGCTACGTGGGTGGTGCGGCCCGCGAGCAGTCCAGGGCGCGGAACCACAAGTCGTCGTCGTCGAAGCGGGCCAAGGTTGCTGCTGCTACTGCTACTTCTGCTGCTGCTGCTCCTGCATCTGAAAACGAGGGGCCTCTCAGCCCCCGATCTCAGGAGCTGCTGGACATCTTCAACTCGCGCGACCTTGGACGCATTCAGGGCCTGCATGGGGTTGGGAGCAAGAAGGCAAGGGATCTGGTCGACCACCTCTCCCTGATGGCCGAGGAGGGTTGGGCGCCTGTCCGGAATTTGGCGGATCTCACCACTATCCCTGGGATGGGCAGTCGGACTGTGGAGAGGGCGTATGAGGGGCTCGTGGGGACTATCTAAGGAAGTCAACAGTCTAGCCTGACGGGTTAGGTTTTCTTGTTTATGTGTTTTTTTAAAGGGCAAGGGGACCCTTTCTTTTTGCATCCACGGGAGTCAGGGGGCTTGAGGATTGCATAGCCGGCGTTATTTTAGGGCGCATGAAAAGGATGGCTGCTTCGCTTCTACGAGGCTTGAGGCATTCTATTTTCGTCTACATATTTTGATCTTCCTTTTCTTGCCAGTAAGCAAAAGGACGGTAGGTATCATGAAGACGGGATGGCTTATCATCACTCCATCAAACGAAGCAGCACCCAGTGCCTTCAGGTATGACTCGGGGCGGGAGACCACGGCACAGTCTACACGACGCCGTGGCTGCTTACATCTCAATCTCATATGTAAAACAGCTGAGACCTCAACTCCCATTTACGTCTTACAAGCAGCCGAACCGCACGAATCGCGATAGCACGGGCAGCGACATCAAGCCAAGCGAGTTGAGAGAGCACGAACATTGAAATAAAGACAGCGCATCGCTGTGCTACACCCCACATGGGGCCACATCCGATGCTGGATTCCGGGGTTTCCAAACCCAGCACGATGTTCGGGCGCCTGCAGAGATGATTCTGTTTGATGTTGCTTTTTTTTCCCATTTTTGTTTCTATTCTTATTTTCAAAGAAAAGTCAACACTCCCCTACCGCCTGAGACGTGTCCACATGTTCCCTACCCAGCAGGTCACGTTGCGCTTCCACCAGAAAGCAGATTGCACAGCGGAAAGTGCGTGCGTGTCTTGAAACCTTTCCCGGTCGGCATCACGATTTCACGGGAATGGTCTGAGATTAGCTGGTCTCTCCCCCGCCCTGCGCGATGATATGGGTGGAACAATCATGTGGGTTGTCGCGGCTGCATGTGTTTGAAACCATTTGCTGTTTCGTTTGCTTGCGTGGTTCTCTGAGGGTGTTGATAAAGGGAAACAGGGTAAAGACTGGCCGAGGGGGGCGGGTGATTGCAGGCAGTTGGCCAAAGTGTGACGATGGTTCACCAAGTCGGGGGCATCTATTATTACATGTACATGTAGTCACTTGGAGGATCAGGAAACATAGATCACTTTGAAGATAGTGGCATCATATTGTGAGTGTTAAAAGGGTTTGTTGATAATTCGCCCTCCACTCAGGGGTAGGGGGGAGAAGATCTGGCGCCGTGTCTTAGCCCAGTCTCCCAAATATATATCGTCCAAAAGGTTTCCGTTTCAAATTGTCCCATGGTATCTATAATTTGCCTGCCCCAAATTCCATGATAAATCGTGTCGAAAGAGCGTAAAGAAGAGAAGTAAAGCAAAGGAAACCGGCTCACAGAGCGATGGTAACCTTTCCAGTCCCGTATTCAATGTTCTCAACCTCGTGGCCCTTCAGGATACCCCCGGTGCCGAGCCCGCTCGGGCAGTTGGGCTGGTTGCTGGTAGCCAAGTCGAGGGAGCACCGCTCGTCCCGGCCGATGGTGCAGGTCGGGTTGGCGATGTTGTAGAGGACGTGGTTTCGGCCGGCCCAGGAGCCGTTGCCGAGGCACGAGGCGACGTAGTTCATGCTGTTGGCGGCCGAGAGGGGCAGCTTGCCGTGGTCCAGCAGGTCGGCGCACTCGGAGGGGTCGACGTACTCGAAGTGCATGTCGACGCCGCCGCCCATGTGGGGGTCGTCGCGCGCCGAGGCGCCGTGGGCGAGGTAGTTCCACGCGTCGTACGAGACGTCGTAGGCGCCCCCGGACGAGTCGATGCGGAGCAGGTGCAGGCTGCGCCCGCCGTGCGAGACTTTCACGCAGATGTCGTCGCAGTGCACCGACCCGGGCCAGTAGGCCACCCGGTCGGTGTTGATCTTGCAGCCCAGGACGCCGATGGAGGAGGAGTACTGGACGTGGGGGGTCACGCTGACCGAGCCCGATTGGCCGCGGGCGTTCAGGTGGGGGACGGCGGCGGCCGAGACGACGGCGGCAGAGGCGGCGAAGATGGCAGCGATGTTGGCGAGCATTTTGAAGATGTAGGGAAAAGTTGATGTAATGTAGGGTGGTGGTAGTTGGGTGGTCGAGGTATGTTGACGAGTGTGTATATGTGTCTGTGCCGGTACTCGCTGGCAGCAACAAAGAAGTTTTGGTGTAGTAGTCTCAACGCTCGGCGGAGAGATTTGTGGTCAAAGGTCAACAAAGCAAGGAGTGATGATACCCCAAGGTAAAAACAGCAAGGGATAGTAAGTCAAAAGATTGGATGGTTTGACTGAGACCGAGAGAGTGATCCAAGCTATCAAAGCGTAAAGAACCACTGACAAAATGGACAGGAAAAGTTGATGCTTGATGATGGGATGGAGTGAACGGATGAGATGGAAGCTGGGGGGATCTGGGGGATATATTATACCTAGATTCGAGCCCCTGAACAGACGAACTCTCTGATGGCCTGAGAAGGCAATGTGAAAATACGCTCTCCCAAGGAGCTGCCTCCACCTCCACCCCCACCCACACTGAATCTACCGATGGATAACACGACAAAGAAGCTCTCTGTACTTCGTACGTGGACTCCCGAGAGGGGGATCCACGGTGGTTCGGTCTGGAACCTCATCACAAAGGTTGACGAGATCCAGATGATGTAACAGAGGGGCACGGCAAAGAGAGAAAGATGGGTCGAAAAGGACCAAGTGGAGGGAGTGGATAAAGTGGATAGGTAAGGGGATAGTGGGAAGGACGAAAAGGACGAAAAGGAAGTGGTGTACGGTTCATTAAGCCGCGGGTCGACATGATGTTGGCAACAAAGAGATGTTTAGGCGAGCGAGTAAGTCATGTATATCCTCAATGAGCCAGGGGTCCAGTAGGAGTAGGTTATACGCGACTTATCGGCAACAGGGAATCGAAGATTCGAATCGCGGCAATCGTGCAACGTGGGCGGCCCCTCCTGAAAGGGGTCTCAGGTCTCCTGCCACGAGTCCAGGTACGACAAGGTAGGCTTAGCTCCAGGTACCACTACCGCAACGATTCGGAAGAGTGGTCCCCGACCCGTCTGTCATCATCAGACGGAATGAGATGGGGAACCCCTGACTCGGAGGGCAAAGGTGTGAAGTTGGGTGGGGAGGCCCGAGGGGCTGGGGGGCCAAGGACGGACGAAAAGAAAAGGACGAAAAAAGACGGGATGCCTGACGCAACACCAAATGCGGACGACCTAGATTCTCGTTGTCAGTCCTTTCCCCATACCCGGTGGCAAAGGATCAGCAGGGGCGGGGTGTAGTACAGACTATGATTCAGTGGTAACGTGGTGAAGGAAAGGATCTGGATAAGAATGCATGGGATCCTAACACACCAAACGACGGAAACGGAACGGCAACGGCAACGGCAGACAAGCAACGGCGGAGCAGTAGTGGGGAACAGTCGACGTAAGGCTGGCACAAGGCGCTTCTAGCCTTCAATCCGCTGCAGTCTGTCTCCAGTCCGTCTCCAGTCCGTCTCCCGCCATCCTTCATCTTGGTTCTTTATCGATATCTGGCCCGTCTCAACGGCGGTCTGGACTCGGTCCATCTAATTTGGGCTTCGTCTCCATCTAGCCTTTCGCGTTCCTGAACGGTTTAGTCAAAGAATCCGCGGGCCACGAGGCACTGAGCATGTCCAACGTGTCCGTGCCCGTGCCATCATCCTTTGCAAACTCATCCTCAAGGGACCCATTTCGCAAGGAATTAAAACGGGGCCGAAAAGAATGTCCATGCCCACCCAGATATTCGGGTCCAAAGTCTAGACTTTCATGCTTGGTCGCCAATTCGATCGGACATTCGGTCAGGTTGATGATTCCGGTCCCATCACGAGATAATATCCCGAACTTCGAAAGGGGGACAGTCGTGTGAATGTCATCAAACCCCTGTCCGACTCTGCATCCAAAGATGCACTCGGAATGGCCCCGCAATTCTCCCTTCGATGCTTTCACTCACCCCTTTTCTTTGTCCAGTCCTCCTCCTTTTTCTTTTTCTTTTTTGGAGGACTTTTCCCTCTCGAAGCACGCCTAGGGAACATCTTCGGCAAGGCACATCATCCCGTCCAAGACAACGCAGCGAGGAAGGGCTTAGGCCAAGCGACCATGGTAAGATGTGGCGTGGAATGATGGGACGGTCGATTGATCGGACGCCATAATAGCTCACGATCTCCGCTCCGGCGCTCTCCCACGGGCCACGATCCCGCAGGGCTGTACGCCGAGTACGGGGCCCATCCGTTCCGCTATGCCCGCTCCAATCCAGGGAAATGTCGTGAGGCCTTCATCGTGCTCGCGTGACAAGGGGGATAAGAGTGGATAAGAATCGTTGCACTCGTATCTTGTGCGTTGTGGGTAAGTATCTGGGAATAAACCGCTTGTGATCACCGACTCGCAGAACATGAAAGTCATGTATCGCCACAAATTTCGGAGTCAGAGTCACGTGATGCAACTCTTACTCAGCAGGCAGACTTGCCCAGGTCAACGGAGAAACGGGACCCCATTCCGACTTATTGACGTCCACCTCGCTTCGTCAACATGTCCAGGATGTCCTCACCACATGCGTAGACGTCCACCTTGTAATTTACAAAGCAAAATCAGACGCGCCTTCACGCGGCGCTCAAAGAGGACATCAAGCTCCGCAAACGTCCGATCCTTCGTCTCGGGCAGCCGAAAGTACGTCCCGACAAAGAACCTAGACACCGCCGCGCAGCCGCCCCAGAAGAACCCCGTCTTGCGGCTTGCCGCGCCAGTCGCCCGCCGTCGGGTTCAGAATGTACGGGTTGACGACGCTGCAGACGATCTGCGCGACATAGTACGCGATCCGACTGAGGCAGACGCTCTTGTTGGGGCCCAACCGTCAGGTAGTACACCCCGAGCCAGCCGAGCATCATCCCGGCCTGCGCGTAGTTCCCCGCCTCGGAAGCGTCCGGGGCCCGACGCCGATGAAGCCGACCACCAGGAGGATCACGGCCAGGAGGCCCAGGCCCCATAGGTACAGCGTCCGGCGGCCGAACCTGTGCAGCAGGAACCAGGAGGCGATGGTGCCGACCGACGCGATGCCGAATATAATATAGAGACACGACATTTCCACTTACCAGGATTATTATTATAAGTCCTATTTAATATGTACGGTAATTTATAGGCTCTTAGTCACGTGACCATGTGACAAACCAGCACGTTAGTTATTCCGATCCTGCGGGGAGGCCTGTGTAACTGTCAGAACAAGAATATCGGTAATACGCGAACTCATGATTCTTGTTCCTTGGAGAGTTCCAAAGGTACTCCAAGGAATGTCTACCTTATCTACCTACCTTAAATAGTACTACAAAAAGGGCTACGTGACACACGTGACATGTACCCTAAAGAACCGACTCGGGGAACCAAAGTACCGCCCCGGTATACCGCCTACTCCTTCTGACAGAAACAATATTCTCGGATCACGGCCTAACTCAACTTCTCCCTATTTCTACTTGCACGTTCTCGTTTTCCTCTTACCTATCTCACTCGTACAACGTAATTACCCTTTTCCCCTTATTATTAGCGGTATTCCTCTCGTACTTTCCTTTCACTAATAGTAGTAACAATACTATCAATGAGTTTTACGACACAATAAAAGAAGGAAATACGTTATTCATTTATTCTACACGAAAGTGCCTCTTCTTCACTATGAGTGGCCAAGCAGAGTACCAAGGTCTTACACTATCTGACATTGAGCAAATCGACCGGTACAGCCGGTCAGACGTGGATCTCAGCCAGATGATCTGGTGCATGCAACAGACTGGCTACCACCGATGGGGCTTCGTCGTCTACCGATGCACCTATTCGGATGACGACGCCTGGGCCCGCTACGTCGAGCGCATGAAGCAGGCCGCCGTCGACGATCTCTCCCGCTACGGCCGCGACCTCCTCCTGGCCAAGTACGTCGACTGGACGATCGTCGAGGACCGAGACGCCCTCGACGGCGCCTCCAAGGCCGACGTGCGAGCCCGCTTCTCCGAGTGGGCTGAGCCTCATCTCCCCGACGAAGATGGGCGCGGCCCCGGCGCCTGGCGCGCCAACGCTCTCGCCACCGTCTGGAGGTGCCCGCCGACCTTCAGGTTCTGCCTCTTCGTCGACCAAGAGTGCCTAGACACCCTCAAGGCCTACGAGGAATGGGCCCAAGCCGGGGCCCAGGGCCGGGCGCCGTATGTCGCCTGCATCATCATCGACTCCGACGGCGAACCCGAAGGGGAGGGCCCGGATGGATATCCTGCCGTCGACGGCTGCACCAGGTACGACCCCGGCTGGATGTACACCAGTGTTGGGGCTCTGGCCAGTCTGTACGATCACCTGTGCCTTGAAGAGTTGACCGATGGGTACAAGCAGTATGCGAGGCCTCCGCTACTATATCCTGCTCACCAGCGCGGTATCAGCATGCCCACGCTTCAGGAGCTCTAAGGGGCAAGGAGTGGGTTGCAAGGCGAGGGGCAGCAGCAGCTACAGAAAATAACGTGATCCCGTCCAGGCTTCATAACAGAAGCTTTGATGATCGCGAAAAGTTGGAGAAGGAAGACGACTTAATATCTCGGTGCCAGGTCCTTGAAGGAAACATGAACCGATGGGCTACCCTATTCAAGCAACCCAAACGAAACCAACCCACACTTCCTCAGACGCCCACACAGACATAGTAATCCACGCCAAAAAGGGGAAAGGGGCACACGGCCAAGGAGGCAAGTCGAGGAGGCATCGTTGCTTCGTGCAGGCCGTCAAATAGTCTCCCGCCTTTGGTTTATGGTGTGCGGATTCGTAGACCGTGGAACGACTGAACGAGCGACGTGCCCCCGTCGGACCTCCCATGGGCCATGGGCACTGTCAGCAAAGGACTTTGTCCGTGCTGTCTCCTCTTCAATGTAACACTCCGTACTCCGTACTGCGTACCACGGTTCACGGAGAATCCCTGGTACCTAATAAGCGGATTGCCAAATACGACCGTTGCAGAATCCGGGGAAGAGGCACAGAACCGTCAACCAGCCCACCGCGACCGATGTCGTGACGGAGCCATGGGACAGCAATGCATGCAGCAGCATCCCCGCAGCATTATTTCTTAGTAAGTGATGTGCGCCTCTCCCATCGTTACATCGCCCTTCGAAGCCAAGGACAGGCCAGGGGACTTTTACACTTTTTACCATAAGACGTTATCACCGCCTTGTCCTGTTTCGTTCAACTTGGTCTTCTGTCCGTCCCCCGTCCTTGATGTGGATTCTGACCCAATTGACGGGAACCAGCTCCGAAGGCCCAAAGAAGCAAGGCGCCCCGGTTCCTGCCCAGAGTTCCCCAGACCAAGACGGTATCGGCCGAATCAGATCCTTGGCGTTGCGCTCACCAACGTATGAATAAGCATCTGCCAGACTGCCACGCGCAACAGTTTACCGTACCCTCCGAGCCTCTTGCCCTTTGATGCATTGGCTATATCATCGGTGAATTGTCCGAGATTATCCCGCCCCAGGTTGACGACGAGGAAGTCCCCTGTCTTTGTTGGTTTCGGCCCACCGATCCCACTCTATCCGTGCTACCATCGTGGTAGAATGGAACCGGGGATGGGGGACCATAAGGATCGGACTATTCCTGGTTGGGGAGGATAAAGAACGGAGGAAAAGGCGGAGGAAAGTGGACATTGCATCACGGCCATGTGTTCTGGTGGAGCGTGGGAGTCGGGACATAACATGGAGATCGGGAAGACGGCAATCAACCCCAAGACGAATGGAACTGGGTGAGTGATGTCGGGTATATAAGAACGGCTGGCACTCTTCCATCCCATCTGAGCTCCTCTCCAAGCGTCAGAAGGTTCAAGGATCCCGACCCCAGAGATCTTCCACGCCGCCGCTCTCTTTCTCTCCACCCATCGTCCAACCACCCGAGTCAAGTTCTCGGCGACCGTCAACCATCACGATGCGCTTCCTCGCCGCCGCCTCCCCCTTCATCGGGGCCACCCTCGCCGCCCGCCCTTTCCTCGAAGTGGCCGACACGGGCTTTGTGGACTACCTCACCGACACGGCCGAGTGGACCGAAGGACGGCTCCCGGACCTCCAGGACATCCGCGCCCTGCCCGACTTTGAGTTCGCCGCCAAGCAGGTCCTGCCGGAAGCGTCCTGGGCCTTTTACAGGCTTGCGGCTGGTCAAGAGTGGGGTGAGTTGGCTGCCTTTGACTTTTTCCATTCCATTCCATTTGTGTTCTTTTTATAAACATTTTTGTCTTGTGGTCTAGGAGGCTGACTTGTTGTTCGCTCGTCTTCCAAAGGCTACCGCAACAACCTCGACGTCTGGAAGAAGGTCCAGATCCGCCCGCGATTCCTGCGCGATGTTGTCGACTTGCAAAACAACATTGGGTACGTACGAGCCCACGGGCAATAGGGCAATACTGTAACGGCTTGAGAGTGGCACTAGTCGCACTACATGAAAGTTCTCTTGCTGACCAGAGATCGATCATGATGCGAGCATAACAGCATCGAGTTGTTCGGAAACAACTTCAGCGCCCCCTTCTTCATCGCCCCCGCGGCAAATGCTGCCCACGGCGACCCGGAGAGGGCTGAGCTGAACTTCATGGAGGCCAGCGGTGATGAGGACATTCTGTACACCGTGAGTTTCCTTCTGTCAAAGCATGACTTGCCAGTGTCCCAGCAACGAGACTAACATGGTGGGATACCCGACCAGGCCGCACTCTACGCCTCCAAGACCATCGAAGAGCTCGATGCCGTCAAGCGCAACGACACCCTCAACGGGCGCCAGGTCATCTTCCAGCAGGTACGTCCAAGTTTTGAATGATCCGGCCCAATGGGGAAAGAGGTTCTAAGTTCTAACCAGGGGTGAAATCAGATCTACACCGTCAATGACCTCTCCATCACCTGGAACGACGTCAAGAGGGCCGAAGACACCGGCGCCAAGGCCATCGTCCTGACCGTCGACACCCCGGGCTCCTCCGTTCGCGTCCGCGGCGCCCGCCATTCCGGTCTCGAGTAGTGCGTGCTCTCCCATCGTCTCGTCCCAACCCGGCCATGTCCTTTAGCTAACAGCAGCATCACACAGCCCCTCGGCCAGCACCCGTCCCAACACCGTAAGTGCCAAAATAGCCACCCCCGTTCCTGCGATCATGTCAAGGAGCAAGCCAGACTAACACGCAAGGAAAACATAGTGGGAGATCTACGACGAGCTCCGCGCGCGGACCAACCTCCCCATCATCCTCAAGGGCATCCAAACCGTCGAGGACGCCACCGAGGCCGTCGAGCGCGGCGTCGACGGCATCTACCTCTCCAACCACGGCGGCCGCCAGCTCGAGTTCTCCCCCTCGCCCATCGAGATCGCCTACGAGATCTACCGCAACGCGCCCCAAATCTTCCAGCAGGTCCCCGTCCTCGCCGACAGCGGTGTCCGCACTGGCTCCGACGTTCTCAAGCTGCTTGCGCTGGGTGTTAAGGCCGTGGGCCTCGGCAGGCCGTACGTTTTCCTTTCCCTTTTGCTCATTCCCACTTACCCTTTGTTCATGGAAGGGGGAAATGAAGAAAGAAGAAACAACCCCCCACTTCTTCGGCGCTCGTGCTAACGGCTGGTGTTTTCTGCGTTGTTACAGTTTCATGTACGCCAACGTGTACGGCTACGAGGGCGTCAGGAGGGCCATCCGTCTTTTGAAGAACGAGATTGTCCAGGATGGATGGAACCTCGGCATCGGCTCCCTGGATGACCTTAGCCCTAGCTTTGTGAGTTTCATGCAACTTGAACCCCGCCCCGGAGATCTTGCCGTCTCTCTCTCTCTCTCTCTCTCTCTCTCTCTCTCCTTTTTTTTCTTTTTTCCTTTTTTTTAACCCCCTTGTGTTGGGCTCGCTAACAAACATGCTTTTGCAGTTGAACCTCAGGGCACTGGACCAGAACGTCCACAAGGTCGGATGCAACAACAGCTAGATGGAACAAGGGGCGCGAAATGTATGATACCGAAAGACCAAGGTTTCCGAGTGAGAAATGAATTTGAAACGTTTCCCGGTCGAGTCCATTACTAAGTGTCCCGTCTTCGGGCATTCATTAACTGTAATGCTTCGTATAAGAAAGTCAAAAGGGCAGGTTACACTCGCGGAGGCGGCAGGCCTAGTTATATATCTTCTGACAGGATGAATGATGGCCTCAGCTGCTTACCCTCCTATCGTTGTCTGTGGAATTCGCACACGTGCTGCTGCTTCCCGATAGCACTTGAGCGGGGTGTTAAGAACTTAAGACTCAAGATCAACATCCCTGTCTTCCGATCCAACCACTCAGATGATCGACGAGGCCCCATGTGAATCAATCGTTCGAGAAGCAATCCATTGATGTGTCAATATCCTGGTTTCCCCCCACGATCGGTGGCAGGAGATCGCCACTACATGAACAGCTGCCTGCCTGTCCTGTACTTTCCTCGCAGTAAATAACGCAAGCTAGCCGCGCAACCGTCTGCATCATGCAGCTTCAACCACGATTGCTCTGTGACCTGTCCGTGCTTGGTTCAATGTTATCAGAGATCTTGGGAAGCCAATCTATGCATCTCCCCCTCGAATCTCTACCCCTCCAACTTGGCAGCCCCCCATCGCACGAATCGCAAAGAAGACAGTCCCACACACGAGCTCTTCTCCCGAACCAGCACACGAAACTTTCGAAACTCGGTATTTGGCTTCCCCAAAACGGCAGCTCCCGGGACCCCCCATCCATCACCCGCATCAGCCGGAGCCACTTGGCGCCGATATACCGGGCACCGATCGGCGCTGATAAGATAACGTGCAGCGTTGACGCATCATGATTGGCTGCGTGTTGGCCCGTCGAAACGGGAGGCCTTGCCTTTTTCGGAAGCACGTGCCCTGGGGACGTGCACGCCGTCTGTTTCGGAGGGACCCCGCGTAGTATGACGGAATCCCGGGGATGCCGCCAATGAGGGGTGTGGTGCCTGATGAAAACGTGTGCCTCGTGAGTTCAGCTCAGGGTTGATTTGCTGGGTGTTTCTGAAGCAGTTGAAGCAGAGACGAATATGCTGAATACGCTCCTGCGTTGCGATTGTGAGGACGTAATCAAATGTCGACCAGGCTTTGCCGGATTCGGGAATTGGGAAAGGGGACGGCATGCGGAATGTCAGGCATCGTGGGACGGGGACGAGTTCTGAGTGGTCGATAAGGAGACTAAGAGACAGCGGGAAGGGTCGTACGCTAGATGGGGTTTGAGAAGGACGAGGAGAGGTCGCCGAGAGATTGTTTCGGGTATCGTATCGGGCATTCACACGCAGGAATGCAACACATCAATACCGGAGGTGATAGTGGTTGGTGCAAGTAGGTAAGGTGGTAGCTAGTCCGCAGGTCAAGGAGGGGCGGAGTCCCCCGAAAGCACCGTAAGCTTCTTGTAGGTGTCTTGCTACATCAGGAGTCGATGGAGGTATTTGGCAGAGGTGTCTGATCGCAGCTCGCCGATGATCACTCTGATGGGTGTGACAGTCTGAGCCTCTCGAATCTCTGTTGGTGGACTCGTGAGTCGTGGCACTCATCTTTCGCCCACACCAGCGATAGGCGTCCGGGCCTGAGAATGGATTTAAGAAGGGCAGCATATCCTCCTTTGTCCGTGTCAGCCACCCGCCGAACCGGTTGACAGTTTGAAGTTCGACTGCCCTCACCCCCTCGAGTCCGATAGTTCGACGTTACCTTTTCCGGATCCGACCATGAAGTTCACCAATACCATCGCGTTCCTCCTTGCTGGAGCGACCACCGTCTTCGCGTCGCCCACTGCCTTCCCCACCGATGACTTTGACTTGGAAGCTCGTACGGACCACAGCCAGGCCATTGAGGCCATTCTCACGCCCAGAACGGCCGAGGCGGCACCCCTGGCCAAGGGCTATGCTCTTGCTACTCCTGTATGAGTCTTTCTTGCCTCCTTTTGTGTCCTCCCCGGCAATTCTTTTTTTTTTTTTTTTTTTGAGTTGGCAGTGGATCGAAGGTAATGGATCATTGTCGCTAAACTTTCTTGTGCGCCCAACCGATAGCCGGGCATCCCGTCGGCGTCGGCGGCGCGTACCCTCCTCAACGGGTTGACTGTGGGGTCGCCTGGCTCCATGACCGGATACAGCCGAGACCTGTTCAGACACTGGATCATCATACAGGGTAACTGCGACGCTCGGTAGGTTGAGAACTTGAGAGTTGAGGCTTGAGAGACACCCCCGATCCCCGACCGAATAACACATGCATCAAAGAGCTCATGAACGTCGTGCAACACACAGGGAGATGGTGCTACGACGCGACGGAACTGGCGTCAACGTCAACAACGCCTGCCAGCCGACGTCGGGCTCGTGGTATAGCCCGTATGACGGGGTGACGGTGACGGTGTCGTCGTCGGTCGACATTGACCACATGATCCCTCTGGCCAATGCTTGGATTGTACGTTGTCGCCTGTTCTCTTGTTCTGTTCAGTGTTCTTCACCTTACCTGCCCCCCCCTCCC